CAACCCCCGCAAGCACAATTAGGTGAGTACAATTAGGTGAGTACACACACACACACACACACACACACACACACGTACGTTGGCCAGCCTGGCATATGCCGCTGATGTTATCCTCTTGATATGGACTGTACTCACCAAATAGGTGAGTACAGTCTATATCAAGAGGTTAACATCAACGGCATATGCCAGGCTGGCCAACATAAGAACAGCATTTAGAAACTTGTGTAAGGAATCATTCAGAACTTTGGTTGGTTAAATACCCTAGCCACCTTGTTGGCCAGTGTTCGAGTCCCCTGGTGGGTTGAGTGTCTAAAAGGTTATAAACTTCAGCTAGTGGTATAGGCTAGTCTGTGCATTAAGTGTGTATATATATATATATATATATATATATATATATATATATATATATGACTAACTGAAAACTCTCACCCCAGAAGTGACTCGCACCCATACTGCCAGGCGCACTTTGCAACTGGTGTACAGGGCACTGGTGCAACTTTGCACCAGTTGCAAAGTGCTCCTGGCAGTATGGGTTCGAGTCACTTCTGGGGTGAGTTTTCAGTTGCATGTATGCCTGGGGACCATTCAGGCATTCAAACTAATATAATATAATGTATTTTACATATTTTCCATTATTCTTAACTCTTACCTGTAAAGATCAAATGTGTAACAAAATTTCATTTTTTTTAATTGCACATACAACATTCATTTGACCGGAATAACTGCACTCTTTAAGTAATAAAACAGCGATGCGTAGTATCCTCCCAAGTAGAATCCTTCCCTGCGATAGCAGCCACATAGTAAAGATTAAGACTTAAATACGAGCTCAGCACACAGTATATCCTTTCACGACCAAGATGACATTAACTCCAAAATATCTACCACCTAAGGCTATTCATGCCCGTGCCACCTCTTGGGTGGCTTTATTAATCAATCGATGCGTAGTATGAGTGCTTGATTCAAGAGCAGTCACTTGACTTCAGTTCACCGGTAATTACCTGGACGCATGTTCTGCTAAAATATCACCACCCGATAGTCTAGCCATGGAGGTTTAGAGACATCTACTGTATGGCGGGAGGTTTCTGAGTGATGCTGTCTAGGTGGGCAGCTAGGATCCAGTCGGCACTAATCACATCTACGGATCCCCAGTAGGCTACGCACAAGAGATGCCAAACGAATGATAGCACGTCTCTTTAAAAGTGCTATCTAATATTAGTGGAATATTGCTGCTCACTAAGTCCCTTTCAGAGCTGAAAAAGTTGACGACCAGAACTTAAAGAACTTTTACCGCTTGAACCCTTTCAATAAAATGTGAAAATTATCGTGACTGCTTAAAATCTCACAAACTGTATTCTGGTGTAAGCGAGAGAGATGTATAATAATGTATCTTCTTGAGGTTATCTTGAGATGATTTGGGGGTTTTTAGTGTCCCCGCGGCCCGGTCCTCGACCAGGCCTCCACCCCCAGGAAGCAGCCCATGACAGCTGACGAACACTAAGGTACCTATTTTACTGTTAGATAACAGGGGGCATAGGGTGAAAGAAACTCTGTCCATTGTTTCTCGCCGGCGCCCGGGATCGAACCCGGGACTACAGGATCACAAGTCCAGCGTGCTGTCCGCTCGGCCGACCGGCTCCCATGTACATTTAGAAAATATTAGAGGGAACTTCCAACTCTGTATACGGAATTTGCACAAGGAATTTACTCCTTACCATACCAGGGTGTATAACAGAATGTGCAAAATGTCACATTTGAAAACTAAAAGTGCAATGGGTACACTAAGAAACAGTTCTATCATCATTAAGGCCAAAATACTTTTTAACACTCCTATACTTAAGGGGCATAAATAGCCGACCTCTCACCATGTTAAAAAAGGCAGCTTGTTAAACACCGTCAAAGGCTGCCTGACCAACCGGGCTGAAGTTTTCACATTAACAGTCTAGTCGACCAGACCATCAACCATTAGACCATTTTAGACATCAGGACACGGACACTTGATCCCCGGAACTACCTCAAAGGTAGACTGAAGATAGGTTGACCGTGCTCTCCTCCTTACTAGCTAGCTAGCTAGCTGCTGTGTGCCCTAAGTGTGATCCACAATATTGTTATCAGGCGTCGTGAATCATAGTGATAGGACTTTCTTATCTCACTTATGTTTGGTGTAACTTTGATAGGTTGACGTTGATGACTCGACACTGTCATCTCGCAGTCTCTGACTTATGATGTTGGTCACAAAGTCTGGGAGGTGTGGTGGAAGTGGTATGTGAGAAGCACAAGTTGTCTTGTGGAGGATGTGGCAGAGACGAAGGTGCCATCATAGTCCCCCCTCCCCCGGGGCAAATCTGGGCAAATGACGTTGATGTAAGGGCTAAATCAACGTTGATAACGTTGATTTAACGTTACTCAAGCATATTTTGCTCGCTTAGATTGCGATCATGACAGGAGTGGTTAGAAGTGATTGAACTGGTAGATGATAACTTGGGGTGGTTTCGAGGATCAATGTCCATGCACCCCGGTCTCTGGTCAGGTCTCGTGGTTAATGGTTTAGTCAACCAGGCTGTTGGGCAATTTAAAGGGTCAAGTAATTAAATGTTTTACTAAATGGATTCGAATAGTGAAGATTTTCTCCACGTAAACAACTTTACCAACTTTGAATTAGGCTGTAAAGTGTGTAACAGTATTCCACCCCTATTATCCAGCCAGTCATTTTTATTGCAGTTATGTCAGCCAGTTACTGCGTTCATTAAATTTTAGGTTTCCAAACATGCGTTTTCTAGGGTCTTTTACGTTTTTTTTTCTTTTTTTAAGTATGATCTATTGTTTTTTGCTTGTTTTCAGCTTTTGCGTGGGAGATAGAACGTTTTCACTGAACATCATGTTGTTCCATGTAACCCATTGAAAGACTTGGTTTACATCAGTTTGAAGGTTTGTCGTGTCCTCTATAGTCTCTACTCGTGAAAATTCTGGTGTCTTTTGTAAAATATGATACGGTCCTATATTGTGTGTCTGAAATGAGAATGTGTGTGTGTGTCCTGGAGCAAGTACATTACTCTGGTGGACTGAGACTTTTATAGTGGATGAGCCAAATTTTACCTTATCCGTTACACTTTGGGTTGTGTTGGTTGGGAAATTAAAGATCCATATTCCAATTTTGCCAGTCACACACACACCCTCTTTCTTTCACATCGTATAATTACATCAAGGGGGGATACTTGTCAAGAGCTTTCGCGAAGTTGGTGTATATTCGGTGTTTTGCTTGCCTTTAATGGCAACCAAGGTCATGTTACAATACAATACAATACAATACAATTTTATTTAGGTAAGGTACATACATACAATAAATATTTACAAGGATTGTTTAACTTATAGGTATAGCTAGTACATACAATGCCTAAAGCCACTATTACGCAAAGCGTTTCGGGCATGTTATAGTGGTCTAGCAATTTTGGGCACTGTGGGAGCCGGGGTGTAGCAAGATGTGGGTCGAGATGTGGGCAAGGTTGGGTTGGAGGCCCGAGAGTGTGGGCAAGGTGGGGATCAAAGAGGCAGAATTGTGGGTTTTGTCCACCCCTGACATAGCTCTCCCTTATCATGGTCGGCACTCGCCAGAATGGACCACGCCCATAATTTCCTTCGTCGCCACAACCACCACCGCCACACCCATCACGCCTTACCTTGGAGGCTATCATGCGGTGGTTTAGAGGGATCAATGTTCCAGCGGCCTCGTTTACCAGGCTTCCAGGTTGATGGTCTGGTAGATTAGACCAGTCTAATTTGCCGCAGAAGCTACACACAAAATGAACTCCACAGGAACTCCAAAGACCTCCACACACAGAAATCACAATAGCGTGATGCACAAAATGAACAAATCCACAAGGGCCGTGGCGAGGGTTGGAACCTACGTCCGAGAGGATCCCAGACGCTTCCTTAATGGACTGAGCTACGACATGGTAAAAAGAATTGCAACCGGACCCTTACTTCATAAGGGCGAAGAGGTAGAACAGCCTATTGACATAGCTCGGGTGCATGGGGGAATTGCGCAAAACCCTGGTTTGTGTCTCGGAGACACTGCAGGATCCGTTGGTAAATCAGGATGATTTCCCGGTTGCAATTCTTCTTACCATGTCGTAGCTCAGTCCATTAAGACAGCGTCTGGGATCCTCTCGGACGTAGGTTCGAACCCTCGTCACGGCCCTTATGGATTTGTCCAAAAGAACTCTACATTTGCCAGTATATAAAGCCTAAATTTTAAGATCTAAAGCGAGAACCAAAGTTTCGTTCATAAATGGTCTAATAATAGATTTAAACGCAAAGTTTAGGGATACTAGAGCTTCTTGATGATTTCAATAGTGCTCAGATCGTAGCCTAACCTGGGGGAGGAGCCAGCCTCTCGCGGCCTAGCCTGGAAAGGGCCAGCCTCTCGCGGCCTAGCCTGGAAAGGGCCAGCCTCTCGCGGCCTAGCCTGGAAAGGGCCAGCCTCTCGCGGCCTAGCCTGGAAAGGGCCAGCCTCTCGCGGCCTAGCCTGGAAAGGGCCACCCTCTCGCGGCCTAGGCCTAGCCAGGGGTGGGGGGGGGGGAGCAGCCTCTCGCGCCCTAGGCCTAGTTGGGGGGGGGGGGAAGCAGCCTCTTGCGGCCTAGTAGGGAGGGGGGCAGTCTTGATTTTGATTGTTGCAGATGGAGGCGGCTAGTTTATTGTGCACCCCATACTCATCTTGTGCCAGCCTCTCGTGGCCTAGCCTGGGTCGCTAGGTGATCATCTGTTGTCGAAATATATATAGTTTATATAATAACTTAAGTATTATATTTATAGGCTAGAATGATTTGTCCAGTATGTTCTATTGTGGGTATGATTTATGAAAGTGTAATATTTATTCACAAATGTGGTGTACCTAATGGCATTTATCTAAATTTATTGGCCCGGTAGACCACATAAATGTAATACATATTGTAGGCAAATGAGGTTATTTGAAATGGTGTGTAAGTTTGGTGTTTGTGTTGCAGGCATCGATGGACCTGCCGCCGGACAAGGCCAAGTTGCTGAAGCAGTATGACGAGATGAAGAAGTGGGACATGATCTGCGACCAAGAGCGTGTCAGCGCCAAAGACCCACCAGCTCATTACCTCAACAAGCTCAAGACCTACCTCGACCCCAAGGCATCCAGGTCTAGCAGGGTTAGTATCACTAATGGAATTTAAAACACAAGTAACAATGGGTCGTACAAGAATGTTATGGAATTATAGTCTTGTAAAGCTACCAACATGGCATAATGTAGTATTTCTTTCTTCACATCCAAGCTATGAAATAGGGTAGTTCAGGGGTCTGAAGGATTGGTATTGATGTTCCCATGTAAAGTCTAAAAGCTAAGAATTTGTATGGCATATTTTTAAACATGGCTCTAGAACCTTTAGGTAACTTTGTTTCAAGAGTGTAATTTATTTAATGATAGGCTACATTAATAAAGGCGTCGTCTGTGGTCCAGATGGTCTGTTGATTTATGATGTACTTATCAGTGAGAACATGTCAGTCTAGGATTAGATCATTGCTGATGGAATGATGCTTGCGTGCGCTCAAGCAAATACCTTTCCTTTGATAAGTTCCTCTCCTCAGCCTTTGGTAAGGTACCACATGAAAGACCATCAAGAAAATTACAGGCCCATGGAATAAATGGTAAACTATTAGAATGGATAAAGCAATGGTTGAAGGAAAGAAAACAAAGGGTCATGCTAAATGGAAGCGAATCTGAATGGAGATACTGTATGTGATAAGTGGGGGTGCCACAAGGATCCGTTTTGGGACCTACCCTTTTTGTCATGTACTTCAGTGACATAGATGAGAATATTACAAACCATATAATCAGATTTGCAGATGACAAAGATTTATGGTAAAGTGGGAAATTATAATGATATTGAAGCCTTACAAAGAGATCTACATGAACTCCACAAATGATCAGAAAACTAGCAAATGCTTTTTAATATCGACAAATCCAAGGCCATGCATACGGGTCATAACAACCTATGCCACGACTATCAAATTACTAGCATTACATTACAGCAGATTGATGAAGAAAAGGACCTTGGAGTCAAAATCCACCTTTCATTAAAAGTTGCACAACAGGTGGGTGCAGCAGTCAGAAAAGCTAACCAAACTCTTGGGATAATCAAGCATACTTTTTGACTTTAAGGAAAAAAAGGTAATGGTTCATCTGGATAAATCTCTGCTGCACCCCCTATTTGGATTACTGTATCCAAGCATGGAGACCTTTTCAGAAGGCCATAGCTGCTCTTGAGAAGGTGCAACACCGGACAACAAAAGTAATTCCAGAGCCAGGTCATCTCTTGTATCAGGAATGCTTAAAGGCCACAGGGCTAGCAACACTGCAATCCAGGCATGACTGGGGTGGATCTCATTGAAACTTTTAAAATACTGAACAAGTCAGAGGATGTTGATACGGACATTTTCTTCAGAAGGTTAGATGTAATACAAACAAGGAGTAACAGTTTCAAGCTCAACAAGCCACAATATAGGACTGAGAACAGGAGATGCTTTTTCACCCATAGGGTTATTAACCTATAGAACTGCCTGCCCGCTGAAGCTGTACCTGCGAAAACTGTGTTTTTTAAAATATACCTGGAAAAGATCATCAAGGCAAATGGAGGGGACCTTCAACAAGCCACTGGCTTTCTGTCCTCGTCGAGGCCATTAGGGTTAGTGGCTCTCGGGTAAATATAAAGTATTACATTGTGTCCTTTATTATCTTGTATCCACACTGCTTTAGTTTATTGTCCTCTTATGTTTTTGCTCTATCTGCTCCTTTTAAAAAATGAAACTCTTAACTCTGAGCTCTAATATGATATTTGTATTGCAGAAAAGGAAAATGGTGGGGGAATCAACATCTACTCAGGTTCTAAGAGACCTGGAAATCTCCCTCAGAACAAACCACATAGAGTGAGTACAAAGTGATAATTCATATGGACAGGTGTACAACACATGTTTTTTGTTATTTCATACTGTTCTCTTGTTTGGAATCAATTATTAGTAACATTTCAATTATAGAGCTGCATAATATACACAAATATTTGTGTATTAAATGGTAATGTGGTTAATATAATTTTTTGTGTACACTTAACGTCTCAGGAATTTTTCAGCACAATTTTCCCAGTAGTGATAGGATTCACCCCACTTTAATGTAAACAAATCATGTTTGCCATTTTCAGATTTGTATCCATATTTTTTTTTTTGTTTAAATATTGAGAAATTTTAGCGAGTGAAATTTGTCTGTGACGAGGCATTATTATTATTATTATTATTATTATTATTATTATTATTATTATTATTATTATTGGTAATGGTAATGTCTTCTCAGACATAATAACATAGGATAAAAACCCACACTTGTGTATATGTGTGTAATTTATGTAAGGAATTTACAGTCTTTCACACTCCTGAGTGCTTTATCAAGGTCTGATAAATGCTTTTTCACGCACAAGAAAAAAAGAGGCTTACACAGGACTTGCACAGATGTAAGTCTCGTCTTAATCACACACTCAGACCTTGATAAAGCACTCAGGAGAGTGCTAAAGACGGTGTAAATTCCTTACAACAATTTCACAAATGTAGGTTTTTATCCTATAATAATAATAATAATAATAATAATAATATAATATTATTATTATTATTATTAATACAGAAATCACATTAACATAATCTATATCAATGAGAAAATCCACTGGCAATGAGATGGGCGTAAACGTGTGACTTTGTCATTGCGAAGCCACATACTCTACTGCTAGACCACCATTGACTTGTAAAAGACGTGAGTGCATGTAGATCATACATTAAATCTAGATTGGCTTCAGTAGGGGCCCTCCAAACTTCTTGTGATTTCAGTAGAAATCCGGTTGTATGACTTTTTTAAAGACAGCGGTAGTCTAATGGTAGAGAATGCGGCTGGGCAGTGACAAAGTCGTAGGTTCATGCCAACATCATTACCCCTAGTGGATTTTCTCTATTATTATTATTATTATTATTATTATTATTATTATTATTATTATTGAATTATAACACATGTACAGATACTGCATACAGTACAGTACCTGTACAGTTGTTATAATTTAAAACCATTATTAAATTATGTTTAAAATTTTGTTAGTAATATTTACCCATTTAAGGGGTATAATAAATATTTTTAAGATAACCTGTACATATAATAGTACAGTACCGTACTGTATACTCAAATAGAGTATTGATTACATAAACACAGTTTTGGCAGACTTTATACCAAAGTGGCCAGTGAAATTGAGGTCAACAACTCTTTGCAACCAAAGTTGAAATAATGTATACTGTTCATAATGCATTAAATAATTATTAGATAATTATTATAATAATTAAATAATTATTTAGCAGTCTCCGTGGTGTAGTGGTAAGACACTTGCCTGGCGTTCCGCGAGCGCTATGTCATGGGTTCGTATCCTGGCCGGGGAGGATTTACTGGGCGCAATTCCTTAACTGTAGCCTCTGTTTAACGCAACAGTAAAATGTGTACTTGGATGAAAAAACGATTCTTCGCGGCAGGGGATCGTATTCCAGGGACCATAGGATTAAGGACTTGCCCGAAACGCTACACGTACTAGTGGCTGTACAAGAATGTAACAACTCTTGTATATATCTCAAAAAAAAAAAATAATAATAATTATGCATCAGATACCATGTGATTTTATGGAGTTTGTCTTTTATAGCTCTGCCATTAAATTCTTTAATTTTTAACATGAATTGCCTTTTTCCCCCACAGGAACCATTTAATATATTTTTAATTTCTGTATTGGTACTCTTCAGATGGGTGCGGGAATTTTTAAATGAAGAGAACCGAGGACTTGATGTTTTAGTGGATTATCTTACCTTCAGACTCATGATGCTCCGGTATGTGGGTTTTCTCCAGTCTCTTACTTGAACATGATTGTTTCATCATGTCCTCTTGCGGTTTATTCTTCATACCTATACTCATATGGGTATTGTATTAGTATATCCAAGAGATATTGCATTGCTTTGTCTTCTGAACCAATTTCAGAATGTTCCATCAATTCTTGATGTAATAACTAAACTCTAGAAAATCTCTTGTTCACTTGCAGTCATCATCTTGGTGCATCTTAGATACAATAATATACTTTTGACAAAAAACTATTACATTGTATATTTGCCATTTAGCTTAACCATGTATAGTATACTGTATTTAATGCATATTTTTTCTACGGTATGCTTAAATACAATACTTTACTGTACTTTGTTACCTAAAGGTAGTTTTGTTTATGAGAAAGAGCTAGATGTTCATCTTAAACTTTTTCTTTAATTCCTACAGACATGAGCAGAGGATACGAGAAAGTTTAGAAGAGGAAGAGGAGGCAAGAAATCTCAATGGACAACTTAAACCCTCTTTAGAAATAGACTCCCCACGAATGAAGAGGGCTTCACGTCATGTTCAGAAACTGAATATGGGAGACTCCAAAGATGATATCCATGTCTGTATTATGTGCATGAGAGCGATTATGAATAACAAGGTAATTAACGACGACTGTGTGTGTGTTTCAGTTATTTTTTGTAAATACTGTACAGTGCAGAACTAGGTTGTTAAATTAAATATATGCACAGTATTAAATGCCATATATATTAAGTTGTATTATGATTGAATTATATGGCTGTAATGATATTACAGATAATTTTTTTAATTTTCAACATCCTTGTAACTTTTAGTAATTTGTTTAGCAAAAGCTAATGCATAACAATTTTGGCACCATGCATACATTATTGCTGTAAGTGAATAGACAATATAATGTAAATTTTTTTATTGTTTTTCAGTATGGCTTTAACCTGGTGTTTGAGCACCGTGAAGCTATCGGGTGCATCGCTCTCAGTCTAAATCACAGAAGTTTACGGTGAGTTCACTGCTACTGTGTCTGTGTTGTATGTACTGTATTTAGCTGTTTTTCTTGCTAATGTATTTAATTCATTCTTGAATTTCTCTATTTACAACTAGGCACGTGACATATTCATACTGCTCAGCAAAAATGTTGTTTACCCAAACAAAATAATGCTTAAATTTTCTTAATGATTATATTCACAATTCTTGGAAGACTATAGAAATTAGGGAAAGTAAATATTTACAATATGAAATTAAATAACCTGATCAAACTGTTGAGTTATTTTAAAGTTGTCCTGGCATCCTCGATTGTTGTTGCTTGAGGCAGCTAGTTTATTGTGTACCCCCCATACTCGTCCTGTGACCGGTAGCGCAAAAATTCTTGTTTATTAATTTCCTCACTCCATAAATACTGTATAGGTAACTTATCCTGAGAATGAAAGGTTTGTAGTTGGCATAGAGAAGTGCTTGTTGAATAACATTCTTGGTGTTTGAATTTGTTTGACTTCGAGTAATGAAGTTTGTTTCTGTCTTCAGAACAAAATTGAGGGTGCTCTATTTCAAGTGACACAAGCATGAGGAAAATTTTCTTTAGCAAGTGTATAAAAGTGGTTTCAATATTTTCAGCTCTTAAGACAATCCTTGTACTGTATTAATAAAATAATTAAACATTGCAGTTTTTTGTTCAGTATTAATATATGGCATGGACATTATTGTTGGTAACTTTAATGATGATTGCTATACTATATAAATTCTTGTGTATATTGTGTATGTAATTGTTATGTTTATATTTTGTTATTCTTTGATTTCACAGGACAAAAGCTCTTGTCTTAGAACTCCTAGCAGCCATCTGTTTAGTCAAAGGTGGCCATGAAATTATACTTAATGCCTTTGATAACTTCAAAGATGTTTGTGGCGAGTCTCAGCGCTTCCAGACCCTCATGGCATATTTTTCCAACTATGAGTGCTTCCACATAGAATTCATGGTGAGTAGTTGTCTTGTGTTGAGTTGAAAAAATCGTAAAATATTATATTTTCCAGAACTCTGAATTGGGCCCAAATCTTACAGGGAAAAAAACTTACTGACCTGCCACTGGACCTCTTTACTCAAGTTAATTAGCTACAACAACCGATTTTCAACCGGCTCTCCTCGCTCCTTTTTCAGCTTGCTTTAAACCAAACTCTACCAAAATTACCTAGCATATCCTGATCAAGCATTATCTTGACCACACCAAAGCAAACCTAGCTCAACTTCTTATGCAGAGTCCATTAAAATGGACAATATGAAACTACCAATATGGACTCTTATTTTAAATAAATATTGTTTTAATTACTGTAATGTACAACATTGTATTGCACATGTTTTTTTTTTTTTTTATTTATGTAGAGTTTGTTTATATTTCACAAAGCATTTTGCATTACTGTACTGAATTTTTTCCTAGTATTAAAAAAATCTTTGAAAAACATAAAGAAAGAAAATAATAAATTTGTCATGTATGTGCAGTGCTTTGTGTTAAATTTATTTTTACTATAGTAATTTTAAGCAAATTATGTAATGTATTTTTGCTATTGACTTCTGACACTTTTCATCATTGCTTCTCAATCCTCATAACTTTTATAGCATGCTGTACCATTGTGGGAATTGGAGTAGCAGTAATTATTATTATGATATCTTTTAAGCTTACTATTCAAGAGAAAGGTTGAAGGAACAACTTCAAAATATAAAGTATTGAGAAGAAATATGAAAAAATACAAATCATTATTTCATGTCAAATGTAAGAGTACTGTACATACAATTTCAAAATATATAAGGGGATCTTAAGTTTGCTGTTCAGTAGAAAAAATACATCAAAGAATAAGTAGAATTTTTTTATTATTATTTATATTAAGGTTGAGAGTTTGACATCATTCTCATCCTCATTAACTAATTTTTCACTACTAGAGGGTGAAAAGTAATTTACCTAGAGAAAATACAACATTTTTGAAAAAAAAAAGATTAAGTGTATTGCATTAAAAAGTAACACCTTTCCTTTTCAGACTGCTTTCTATATTTAGCAGTATCAAAGGGAATTAGTTCACCACATTCTGGTAAATTATACACTGGAGTATCCTGGCCACTTCCTGGATTGGGCTCTACTCATTCATAAGAGTATATGACCATAAGAATAAAGGAAACTTGAGAATGCCTCTTGGCATCTCTACATCATTTTTATCGTGAATATTTTGAGAACCTATGTTAGCATAATGTTAATACAAATTAAGACAAGGACAGAAGTAATAAAAAGATCACTTGTGTTGAAACAAACATATGCCTCTCCTAACCTTGCATTAAAGTTGTACAAGGTGATGATATTCTTGGTGATGGTGGCTCATGATTTTATGGTGTGAACGAGGTGGTGGTGATGGCATACAGTGAGCTGGTAATGGTGGTGGTGACAGTGTAGGCAGAGGTGGGGGAGAGCCCTCACATTGTAAAATTATCATATGCTTTGCTAAGCTTTATAGTAGTTGCAGGTTCTATTTGTGCAATTATGGTATTTAGGGAATAAGATATGAAGAGTTGCTCAATTACAGTTACCACTGTGTTTTGCCTAAGTAATCAAACCGAAGGATGAGAGTAGGATGCATAAAATGTCTTCAGGGAAATATGACTATGAAGGTGAGCCATGCTCCAAGGAAGTCCAATGGTATAGCAAGCTTGTGGAGGGTGTGCTGGAAGTTGAACTGAAGGGAAACCTGCAGAATTAACATGTGCTGGAGATTAAGATGTAATGCAGCATTTAAAGTCTTGGTATAGCTATGAAAATGCAAAATAATAATGTCAGCATTTAATAGTATATGCATAAAGTGTACTTGAGATGCAAAAGCAGTTCTCTTTCTTACAATATTCTGGAGGGTCTTGAAAAAATATTTAAGTGGAGTTGATTTAATTAAGAGGAAAGTGAAGGAATTTATAAGGACATTTATCTCATAATGAGAAATAGGGATTCTGAGCCATCATGAACCACCACTTTCATACTGAATTATCATATTCCACAGTGAAGGTTGTTATTTCCACTTCTTTACTTGGTGCATAATTAATTTATAAGCTTTACTTTTCTTCATGTTCCCCTTCCTTTTCCTAAATATTTTGATCATTTCAAATACACCTTTTTTATCAGCAGCACTGCTTCATCTTCATCACTTCTCAGTGACTAAATTTGTATTTAATTATGTACTCTTTGCTATTTTCAAACAGGTAGCATGTATGCAGTTTATCAACATAGTAGTTCACAGTGTGGAGGATATGAATTTCCGTGTACACCTTCAATATGAATTCACACAACTCGGTATAGATGACTTTTTAGAGAAGTTGAGACATCACGAAAGTGAAGAATTACAGGTAAAATTTTATTAAGTATTTTCCTTTAAAGGTAAACTTCAAAGAACTCACTATGAATGTGCTTATTTTTTTCTTTTAGAGCATAACTTGAGACTTTGGTACTGTACTATATGAGATAGTTAAGCTTGAAACAGAATTTCAAGAAGGAGAGAGGCAAAGTAAAGTGTTAAAGGAACTAACACAGAGGCTAGGTGGTCTGAGGTTGGCAACAGTTGCAGTGAAGCTCCTGGAAACTCTGCTGTTTTATGTAACCTAAATGTTTCTCTGGAAGCAAAAGTAACTACTGTATTTTTATACCATGTTTGATTACTTTTGCCTTTGATTATGTGCTATAAAATCATGTTTCTTGGGGAAACGACTGACTTCTTCAGCACTGCATTAAATCATGCAGATCAGACTGAGGGAATGGGATCCAGTGGGAGCACTTGGCTCCTTTGAGGTGTGCCCCCTGGACCAGTCATGGAAATGGGTTTTGGTAACTAGATACAGTAAATGCTAAGGTTATATCCAAGAGTTATGCTTAGGGATTACAAGAGGGCTCCATCCAGAATTAAAACAAAAGAGACTTAATTTTAATTGGTAGAAACTTTACAAATGATAGCTAATAAATGACTGTTAGTACAGAAATTTTACATAAAAAAACATGAAAATTGGGAAGTAGGTCTATGGCATACACCCAAGTACTCCACTATTTCCATCACTGTCCTCAACATTGGTAGTGTAGTAGCTTCCGTTTTCCATTGTTGGGGACAGAAAGTGTGTACGCTTATTGAGACTGCACTAGGTAAATGTCTATGCTCCCCCCAATGTTCAGCCCATAACATTTGTTTAACTCTCAGATGCCTATTTACTGCTAGATGACAAAAACTGACTATTCTATTGCTTGATGTTCAGTATAGAACTTACACAAGCAGTATCATACCTATACGTATAAATATTGAAGTTCCAGCAAGTATAGCCATTATCATTTCAATATAAGCATGGTAGTATAAATTTGCTGAAGTCTTTTTCAGTGTTTTGAAGATTATTTTCCATATTGTATGGCAAATTTTAAACAAAGTTTCTTAAATCAGTCTTGTATACATTATCTTTGCCAGATAGGCAGCCCACACAGCCTTAGTGTTGTGTTGTACTCTATTCAAGACTGTTTATAGTATCAATTGATATGCATACATCTACACTGTTGATAGACGTTTGCAAAATATCATCGTGAATAAGTCATAAATATCAATTTGCATTTACATATTTTTGTACATTAGTGTTTGTATTACTGATGCCAAAATGAGAGAGAAATTTTTAATTAATTTATATATGTATATTTTTCAGATTCAAATATCTGCGTATCTAGACAATGTGTTTGATGTTGCAGCGCTCATGGAGGACAGTGAAACTAAAACAGCAGCATTAGAAAGGGTAGCAGAATTGGAAGACGAATTAGCTCATGTATGTTAAAAGCTAATATTATATGCTAAAATATTGTGTACTCTATTTGAAAACAGCATGCTAATTTAGGTCACTATGAAAACAGGATAAATCCTACTTTTTTAAGACTAGAATTTGATTAACTAACAAAGTGTTATGTTATACATCTTTTTCAATAGGCTAATGCCTTCCCACTGCATAAAAGTGGGAAATATTGTAATGATTATGTATGTATGTATGTATAAATAGGAGTTATATACATAAGTGATCCAGTAGTTCTGTGAGAATAAATTTATCCATTGGAGTACGTGCTAATATTAAATGGTTGGGACGAGTGTGCTGGAAATGAAGGTGATAGATTACTGTACTATCAGTTCTAAACAACATGTGAAAAACAAAATACATAGGTACAGTACTGTACTGAAAAAGTAGGAATTTTGATGTTTATTTCAAAAAACTATTTTGGTTCTGTTAAATATTAAAAATAAATAGAAATATTTTCAAGAAAGTTTTGAAAGTTAGACAAAGGTTAGACAAAAGGTGCCTTTTGGTAATTAAGAAATAGATAGCATGGTTCATAAGAGTTTGATTAATTTGTGTATCCTATAATGAGAGTAAGGTATCTTCAAAATTATATGGAAGTGTTGATTGTAGAATATATGGAAATATTTTAACTGTTGTAGACATTAATAAATGTGTCTTTCAGAATTACAAGTTCTTGTATAACTTAAAATTGCTTCAAGAAACATAGCAGTACAAAAATACTCGGAACACATTCTGATAGTATAGGTTACAAAGACACTAGGTTACAAATAATACATCACAATGATTTTACTCCACTCAGATGGCAGAACGAATGTCTGAAATGGAAGCTGAATCTTTAGCAAAATTAGTCGAATTAGAGGGCGAATTGGTTGACATGCGCAGACAAAAGGAGGAGTTGGAGAATATTCATTGTCAGGTATGTGACTTATTACCTCTGAATTATGTTTTTAATAACATTGGTAATAATAATAATAATAATATTATTATACAGTAAATAATATTTATTATTGATTTATTATTATTGATTTATTAATTATTATTATTAATTATTGATTTATTATTTATTATTAATTATTATTATTATTATTATTATTATTATTATTATTATTAAGGCTTTTGAGTGAACAGGGACTTTTTACTCAAGTGAACTTTTCACTTTGAGTGAACAGGGACTGAAAAACTTTTCAGTTTTTCAGCACAGTCAGGGAAAGACTGCTGTTCTTGCACCAATGCAACAGGGATCTTTTATAAAGATCTCTTATCAAGTGATACTGGTGCAAGGAAGACACTACAGTACTCTTAATGTACAGTAGACTGAAATGACTTCAAGAAGGTTCATTAAAGTACAATACACTCAAACTGTTTCCCAAGCACTACTCAACATCAGAGAGACTATCAAGGAGTACTCTGTTAATCATTGTCCTCCCTGGCCACTACTCACAAACTCCACCAGGATTTGGCACCTACATGTTTAAAGGATGCCCTGACTACCCATTCTAACATAAAAGAGCCTATCTTAAGTACAGGAGTAGTTGGGACAGCAGGGAATGGGGGGATAGTGTCTCAGAAAAAAGCTTTTCCTCTACATTTAAGTCCCATTTATGAACGGTATTACTCAATTGGTTCCTTAGGCAAGAGTAACTTGCATAGACAGAAACACTTAAAATGTAAACACACACAAGGGATTAAGCTTAAGTATGCTGCAGAATAGTGCCAGTTGGAGCTCCAACCCATTGACGTACTCTATGCAACACCTGAATACTGTATTCACCAAACCACACACTAGAAACTGAAAATATGAGGACGTTTCAGTCCATCCTGGACCATTATCAAGTCGATTGTCATGAATACTGTATGAATACACTCATTGTGTATTAACACACTATAGCGATTCTTAGTAGCAGCCGAGTGGACAAACCAGTGATTAACTGAGAACTCCTTTGGGACTTCTTTGATACCAAGTAGAGGCTGAATGGGTTTTTAGCCTTTTTGAGGTTATTCTAGGCTGGATTGAGAAATCTCCAGTGTAATTGTCCAAGTGTAATTTCATAAGTGATGCTGACTACAAGGAAGAGATCTATCTGTAAGCCCACCTACTGTCCTTTTTGTAACAGTTGTAGTTTATTTTAACTTTTCTGATGCTCAAATGCTTTGGCATATCTGGCCTTAAAGCTATAGATGGAGTTAGCTACCACAACTTCTTGTTTTGGTGCATTCAGTTTGACGACCATCGGGATAGAACAAACATTTCCTCACATTTTGTCAACTCATTTATGTTTCCAACTTCCATCTGTGTTCTCTTATCCTGTCTCTGTCAGTTTAAAGAGGCTGTCCTGGTCCATCTTTCCTATTTCCTACAGCATCTTGATATTGCACCAGTGCTAAATGTTGACTAGGCATAGTCAACAGCTCCATATGTGGTAAGAACAGAAGTTTACATACAGGAGCAATCAGGTAATATAGATCAGAAAATGATGACGATAACAGTAACAATAATAATGATAATAAAGATAATTTAGACTTGTGTCTAAATATGTCTGCATGTTGTACACATGTGCATTGGTGTTCACAATGATGATAATTTATTAGTGTTAGAGAGGCTTGTATAGTAATGTGCCATTGTCTTAAGCTATCAAATGCTGTTGACAATTTGTTTGTAGTTAAAATCCAACATGAAGCAAAGTCTTAAATACATCCATCATCTGTGTGTATTTATATTTTGTAAGGTTCAAGAGGAGGTGTCAACTCTACGGAGAGAAGTCAATCAGAAAAGTGAAGAATCTCGTCAAAGACAATCGATGTTGGAAAAACAAATCCTAGAGCTTGAAAATCTTGCAAGATCAAGTCCAAGTAAGTTTGGTTGATAAATCTATGAAAAATTTACATTATTTAATGTATAAATTAGCATTTCTATTTTGTATTTGCAGGTATTTGATTTGCACATAACCATTGAAGTTAATTATATGTTCATAAACAGCTTTTTCTTGTGTGGAAGAATAATTACAAATTTTTTATCTTCTCTTTAACAAGGAATATCTATAGTTTTTTATCTTCTCTTTAACAAGGAATATCTATAGTTTTTTATCTTCTCTTTAACAAGGAATATCTATAGTTTTTTATCTTCTCTTTAACAAGGAATATCTATAGTTTTTTATCTTCTCTATTTAACAAGGTATATATATATATATATAATTAACCCCACCATAAACAAATAAGTTTATTAATTTTTTCAGTATTTCTTATTATGAAGTCATTGCCATATACTGGTTAGGTTTAATTTAAAAAAATAGTAATTTACAGGCAAAAATATTTTAACAAATTATTCACGAACATGTTAAAATCATTTGATCATACGAGCAATGATACTTTTTTATGAATACATAGTAACAAAATGAGAAATAAAACATATTCTGCTATAATTATGGGTGTAATATAAATGCATCACTTTGTGAATTGTTAGCTTGAAAGTAAACTCCTGTTCCAGTTAAAATCTAGAAGTGAATTGTTTTGTTAAATATTCTCTTATGTGCTCTTAGGTGGTGTAGAAAGATCGGGCACTGAAGCACTGGCTCCTGCACCTCCACCCCCACCACCACCACCACCAGGTGTGTCTAGTTTCTTTGCTCCACCACCGCCACCGCCACCTCTGGGATGTTCCACACCACCTGCGCCACCAAAATTGCCGATGGGAATGAGCAGTGGACTGCGACCACCACCTCCAGCACCTGGAATGAACTTGGTTGCTCCACCTGACTCGATGACGATAAAGAAGAAAGTTAACACGAAGTATAAGCTACCGACACTCAATTGGGTCGCTCTGAAGCCCAATCAGGTGAGCAGACATCTACATGTGTTGATATCACAGTACTTAGTATTATTACTGCCAAAAAATAATGGAACATGTAAGATTAGCTTGTATATATATCTAAAGTATTTGTGTATACATTTTGCTCACTGTTTTCTACTGTAACAGAGCAGTGTATGAAGAATCTCTTCCACTTTTCATTGTTTATACATTTAAATTAGCTCCAGTATGTTTTGTATTGTCACTGATCTTGCTGATATAAATTTATAATTATATCTTTTGGACCTATTTCTTCACCGATCATTCATCTCTTCACTACCACTTTTTTATTTTAAATGACTGATGATTGATTTACAGGTACTGTACTCTAAATTTAACTTTATTTTTTACTCCTTTGGAATTTCATCTTAAGATTACAGCACTATTTTCAAAACAGTGTTATAGCATTTAGCAGTAAATATTGTTTATCCATTTCCAGTCAACTCACTTAATATTGATATTAGATTTGACCTTTCATACAAAAGTTAAACAGTGGCACCTTGCTCAAATGGACTAATTGGGACAGGACCTGTTCTATTTCATCACACAATTTTCTTCTCTCTTCCCAGCAATAACTTTACTCGTGTCCAAATGTACTTTTATCAGTTTTCTCTGACAGAAACTTGAAACTTTTAAGTAATATACATAATTTTCTATCACTGCTGAAAGACCTGCATCATTTACATAAATTAAATGACCTACTCCATTAACTTGTATCATTAACTAAGTTTACATTTTTCTCCAGTATTCTTACCTAGACCTCCCTCCTGAGGTCAGGATAAGAATATGTACTGTATATACCAGTGTAATCATCACATTTTTCAGTCCATTCCACAGCACACAACTATGGTACTTTCATCCTCCATCTCCCAGCACACAGTGGGGGATCAGTTTAAATACCTGGGATGAGTATTTGACAAACGAGGAACTTGTATTGGTGAAGTTGAGGCTTAACTTCAGGCTTAACAGAGTTGGGGAAAAGAATGGGCTGGTGCAGTGAAAGCCCAAGATGGAAAACTCTAGATAGGAAGAGATGTAGACAGAGTGCTGCATGAAGGAGTGATAGTGGTACAAAACATGAGAAATCAAGAATTATAGTTGAAATGGTCACTCTTGAGAAATCTTGTGTGGTGCTTGGAGAATAATATTGTTAATGAATTAATATTATTAATACAGTTCTTTGAACTTGGTGTGATTTTCTCCATAGGTACGAGGAACAGTTTTCAATGAACTTGATGATGAAAAACTGTTTAATGTCATTGACTTCCTAGAATTTGAAGAACATTTCAAAATCGGTTTAGGAGGAGGTTCTGGCAAAGCCAATGGAGATGTTTCAGAGGTTGATTCTCTACACGCTTTTGGTAGTAAAAGAATTAAGAAGCTAGAATTAACTTCTCTGATGGAACATACCCGCTTAAGAAATATTGGTAAGTTTTTCTGTATTTTGAGTAACTTTATATGAACCAATTGCACTTTATATCTATAAATTAGAATGTCTTATCTGCTTGAGGTAGGAGGCCAGATGTTAGGGCTAGCCTCACCCAGCTTTGTATCATGATTGCTGTGGGATAAGTGCCCAACATGGTCAGGTCATGGTCACCACAATTCGAGAGAGAACAATGGGCCACAATCACATACTGCCCCCCCCCCTCCCCAATGATTTTGGCACTGGCCTCTAGCAACAGTTTAGGTGAATACTTGGAAACAAATTTCAAAACCATTATTTAGTCTTTAGAGTATTGTATAAATTTTGTGCACTGGTGTTGAGAAAAGTAACACAAATTTCTACTCATCATACTTTGCCCGTAACAGTAAACAGATGTAACTTGTAAGATGTCAACACCACCCTTGGTCCACCACCAGCCCTCTCCTTTCCCAGGCCCATCCACTAGACTACTTTCCGACATCCTCCCACTGGCACGTTTCTCTTTAATTTTTATAAATGACCTCAGAGGGAGTGAGCTCGTATGTGTCAGTGATTGTTTGCAGGTAATGCAAAGTTAATGAGTAGAGTAAGAATTGAAGAGGACTGGAAGATGCTGCAAGAAGACCTTAACAAACTTCAGGAGAGGGCAGATAAATGACTGCTGGAATTCAATGTAAATAGTTGTAATGGCTTGGTGCTTTATCCTGATAATTACCTTACTGTACAAAAAGCAATAATTGAAAAAGCCCTAGAAGTAGATGTAATTCCAACACTAACACAAGAAGCTCATGTGAGCAGGATAACATCAGCAACATATGGGAAGTTAGTAAGCATAAGAATGCCATTTAAGAATCTAAACAAGGAAGCATTCAAGTCCATACACTGCTTATGTGAGATCATTGCTTGAGTATGCATTATCTACACCTTATGAAGCATAAACGGAAACTTGAGAAAGATCAGAGGTTTGCAACTAGATTATTACCAGAATTAAGAGGCCTGAGGAATATGAGGATAGGTTAAGAGAACTCATCCTCACAATCTTAGAGAAAAAATAGAGGGGATATGATAACTACATACAGTATACAGTTGAGAGGAATAGATAAAGTGGATTAAGGATGCCTACTCAAATTAAAAAGAGGGAGGGCAAGGAGGACATCAGTGGAAGTTGGACACAAATTCAGTCGGAGATGCAAGAAAGTTTTTGTTCCCTGTATGGGTAGTTGGCAAGTGGAAATCCAAGCCCCCAAAATATAAACAGTACAGCAGACATGATTCAAAAATTGCATAAATGTTTGGTAGCCATATCCTTGACTGAGCTACTAACAGTTCATGGCTATGCCAACCCATTAGTGCTAGTTAGTAACTTGTACAGGCCTTCCCCAGCTAGTTAGTAACTTGTACAGGCCTTCCCCAGCTAGTTAGTAACTTGTACAGGCCTTCCCCAGCTAGTTAGTAACTTGTACAGGCCTTCCCCAGCTAGTTAGTAACTTGTACAGGCCTTCCCCAGCTAGTTAGTAACTTGTACAGGCCTTCCGTAAGACTTGTACTTACGATGACTAAACACTTGCTCAATCCACTGCTTTGTGCTCCTCCTCAAGCATGGTGGGGAAATCTAGGATCAATTATCAAATTTCTTCGGCAAACAAAACCCTAACCATGGTTAATAAGAAAATATTAATGGTGGCACATCAGGGCCAATAAAGAGAAGCCATGACATTGGAAATGAAAGTGTACATAATAATAAGGAAATCATAGACAGGAGAAATAGTAACACAAATTGCATTTGTATAGGATAAACCATCCAACACTCGTCACTAGTATCAAAGAATTGGTATAAGTGTAGACCATGCAAATTCAGCCTGTGTTGTTATTTCCAATATTGAAATGCTTGGGTTGTTACCTTCTATCTCTTCTTTCTTCACTAATTAAGTATCTCCTTAATAATTATCAAATCCAATAAACAAGGTAACTGTAGTAATCAAGGTAAATAAACCCAGTGTTTATATAACATTATTAATATTTAAATTTGTTTAATATACCAATTTTTGGTGCTTTGGGAACTTCTCACATTTAGAGTATTATGCCTTTGGGAGATTGTGTTCTAAGTTCTGACCAGTTGACTTAAGACAGAAAATTAGGATCATATCATAAGCTGAGGACTCCTGTACTATGATGAATGTGAAGTTGAATAATGTTATGATACCTAAAATCCTTTATATATTAGATTCATGACAATACAATTAGGAGAATGTGTGTACTGACAGTGTTATTCAGAAATGCATTAGATAGGCATTTTTTTCTTTATATTTACCATAATAACTTTGAGAGTAGATTAATCATACATTAACTGATAAACTTCTATGTGCCGGAAAACTGTTTGCAAGGAGAGGAGCAGTTTCTTGTACAATGCAGCTTTTATGAGTTACTCAAAGTAATATTTGCTGTACAATATAAATAATTTTGAGCAATTATGTTTAATTAAGTAAAAATTGTTAGCAATCTTTCTATATAGGTATATTTCTTTGTTATATGAATTGTCGGCAACCTCCTCCATGTTTTTTTTTTCAGCCATCTCTCGAAGAAAACTGGATCTTCCATTTGATGTTGTGAGCAAGGCTGTGAATTCCTTGGATCTGAAGACGCTTAATGTAGATAGTGTGGAATTGCTTCAACGAATGGTTCCTACTGATGCAGAGGTTAGCTTGAATTTTTTAGGCATTACATTTTTATATGATGCATGCATTTTTATATAGTCTTAATTGTGTGGTCAGAAATATCTTTGAAACCTTTGTTAGAATATCCAGTGGAAATGTATCCACTGATACATTTATCCATACAGCAACACTGATGAAAGTTAAAATCTTCAAGAACACATTTTCTAAACTGAAATCTCAGATTTGGCATAGGTACATTACTTAACCTTTCTATCTATTTGTTTCTGCTCTTGCAAACATGCTATCATAAAGCTGGTCAGTATTTCCAGTCTTGTTTTCTAGTTAAACCCAGTTATGACTCCTTCACTTCTACACTAGCCAAACAAGCATGTTAAATTCTGACAAATATTTCTGGTATTAGTTCAATAGTCTTCAGAATACTGGAAGGTGTCTGAAGTATCTGGGAAGATTCTACAAGTGGCTCTCCTCTTAAAAATGAGGGGTTCCCAAAGGAAAAGGTGCAAAAGAATTAAGAACATCATACTGTAGCATAATATAACACAGAAAATAATGAAATAGAATAGCTTACTTACAACTGTAATTCATTTTGTGATGATTGTAACTTTTGCCTGCAACATTTAGAACATCATAAAAAATTTTCCTTTCATTTTATTTTCCTATTTTTATTTTAACTTTCATTTTATCTCTTGACAGATTAAAGCGTATCGTGAATATGAGAGAGAACGGAAGCCTGTAAATCAACTAACAGAGGAGGATCAATACATGTTACAGCTCAGTAAAGTTGACAGACTGTCTACCAAACTTCAGATAATGAGTTTCATTGCTAACTTCTTCGACAGTGTGCATATCGTCACACCAGTAAGTTTCTCCGAAGATCATTTCATTCTTACATTAAATGCACAAGATGGTCGTACGTTTAGCTTTTGTCATCACTGCATTTTTTGTTTTTGGTTTTTCTGTTCTGAAATTTGTTGGTGTCCTTTAGGATATCTGGAGAGCACCTCTTGAATCATTCTTTACCACTGTATTGTTGTGCAAAGAAAGTCCCCAATGTCATTATGATGTGTCCTCATGGCAGATTTTAGAATCATTTTAAAATTATTGAGGAAGGTGACCTTACCTTGCCATGGTTTCAGTGGTCAGTGTTCCCATGGGCAAGACTCATGTTGTGGTTTGGTCAGTCAGACTGTTTGTGTAGTATAGCCTATAAATCAAGCATCCTTGAGGGGGTTTGTTAGTTTCCTCCTTGAACATAATCAGAGGTCTGTTAGTAATTCCCCTTAAATTGTTTCTTAGTCTGTTGCATTCCTACTTTTTATTTGAACTTTTCTACACATTTTATATACTTTTACAATATTGTAACAAATGTTGAAAGTTTTTTGGTATATATATTACAGTACAGTACAGTATTATGCTAGCATTTTTCAGGTCTTATTGTATCCAAGACAGTAAGACATGCAAAATGGTCATGTCATTTTGGCTAGACCATTATGTCTAGCCATTGACATACATGATATATGATATATGTCAATGACTAGACATAATGGTCTAGCAACTCCAAGAGGCAGGAACATATTGTTCTAAATTTGTTAGCCGGCATTGTGTATCTCATTTTTCCAACTATACAGTGCAAATATATTGGCCAAAAAAATTGCAAAATTGGGGCATCTGTTAATGTAGAAGTCAGTCTGTGAAAGAGCTAGATGCAATTGAAGGAGTCTATTCCAGAAATAAGACTTCTTTTGAAGTGAACCAGTATATTCACTGCCTAAATGGTCAACTTATTTAAGAACTTGCTTTTTCCAAGTGATTTTAATATAAAAAGTGGATTCCATTATTTGTAGGAATATAAACATAATAATTTTTGTATAATATAGGGAAAAATAGTAGATTTTGAATGCCACAAGAAACTTTAGTAGAGAAGGGTTCAGCACAAATGTACTCGATCAGGTGTATGCTATAATACTCTGTTTATGCTGGTAAAATGCCTTTAATGGAGAGGGAGATAAAAATACAGATAAATAGTCAACCACTGGCACCAATGTGGCCACTCTATGCTCAGCTGAAATGAATCCCATTGACATAGTTTTTGTAATATCTTGATAAGTTTTGCATGTTGCATCTACAGTCTTCATTGTGGTGTACTTTTATAGCTAATCTGATTTTCAGTCATACTATAGGTTTTCTAAAAATATATTAAGAATATTTTTATTGCACTTAAAAAAGAATGTAATATCAGAGGTTGAAGTCTAGGAACTCTCCTTGTGTATGTAGGTTACCATGAGGTGGTTCTAAGGATCAGTGTTCCCGTGGCCTCTGACTAGGCCTCCGACTCAATGTTCATTACCATTTTTTACTGACCTGAGTTATTGTTAGGCATGGTAAATAGTTTATATTTAATTTAAGAGTTTCAACCTGACGTGCACAATTTTGTTTCGGTTTTATTGATTAATAAAAGTAATGTTTTGTATTGTATTTCAGCAAGTCCATGCTATCATCACAGCGTCCAGATCTGTCAAAAACAGCAATAAGTTAAGAAGAATGCTTGAAGTTATTCTTGCATTTGGTAAGTTTCTAATTATAAATAAAAACTTTAATTTTTTGGTTTTATTATGTTTAAATACAGTAGAGGAAGGAGAAGAGGAGGATTGAAAGAATTATTTAGATACTATTTTGACATTACACATTACCTGTTACACAATTTAGTAAATTAGTGGGTCTGGGATAGGTATCAGTTATGGAGAATAAGTTAGAGTAACTTGGCTCAAACAAATAACCCCAACCCACGTATATAAATGATAATGTTTTGGTCTGTGCTGCACCAATCACGACTTGATAAGGCTCCAGGACAAGCTGAATCTTTGTTACTTTCCTTTCATTTCATGTGTGGGCTGGGTTATAGGTATCAGTTATTCCATCTAGGCCATGAGTTTCTTCTTTCTTTAATCTATGACTCCTCTATTCATGACTTCTTTAATTTCACTCCTGTCTTTCATCCTCTGTTCTACTAGTCATCCACCCCTTTTATTCATTCAAAAGCATATTACAGTATCTCCTTTTTCTTCATATTTTGAAAGTTACTTAAAATATTCACTTTACCTGTTAGTAACATCATACATATTTGTCATAAGAAGTTCCCCTCACACATCATGCACTCTATTTATTTCCTCCTTTTCTTTGTCATGATTATCTAACTTTTCTGTAAAATAATTTGTCATTTTTTACAAAGCTTTCATTCAATGTTCTCCCAAACACCTTATCCTTTACTTTTCTTTTATCCCTGCCCATTTTCTGTTTTATCTTTGTGCAAGTATTTTATTTGCTATTTCTTTTCTATCCCATATAACTGGGAACATCTTTGTTGCTATTTTTATCCATTCCTGTTTTTAATAGCTGCTTTGATATTTTTAGTCATGTGGTACTGTACCTCTTTCCTCCCTTTTCCATCAATATATATACTTGCACATTTTCAAGGGATGTGCTTTCATCACATCCTTTTATATATATATATATATATATATATATATATATATATATATATATATATATATATATATATATATATATATATATATATATATATATATATATATATATATATATATATATATATATATATATATATATATATATATATATATATATATATATATATATATATATATATATATATATATATATATATATATATATATATATATATATATATATATATATATATATATATATATATATATATATATATATATATATATATATATATATATATATATATATATATATATATATATATATATATATATATATATATATATATATATATATATATATATATATATATATATATATATATATATATATATATATATATATATATATATATATATATATATATATGTTGTACCTAATAGCCAGAACGCACTTCTCAGCCTACTATTCAAGGCCCGATTTGCCTAATAAGCCAAGTTTTCATGAATTAATGTTTTTTCGTCTACCTAACCTACCTAACCTAACCTAACCTAGCTTTTTTTGGCTACCTAACCTAACCTTACATATAAATATAGGTTAGGTTAGGTTAGGTAGGGTTGGTTAGGTTCGGTCATATATCTACGTTAATTTTAACTCCAATAAAAAAAAATTGACCTCATACATAGAGAAAAGGGTTGCTTTATCACTTCATAAGAAAAAAATTATAGTAAATATATTAATTCAGGAAAACTTGGCTTATTAGGCAAATCGGGCCTTGAATAGTAGGCTGAGAAGTGAGTTCTGGCTACTAGGTACGACATATATATATATAATATATATATATATATATATATATATATATATATATATATATATATATATATATATATATATATATATATATATATATATATATATATATATATATATATATATATATATATATATATATATATATATATATATATATATATATATATATATATATATATATATATATATATATATATATATATATATATATATATATATATATATAATATGTCGTACCTAGTAGCCAGAACTCACTTCTCAGCCTACTATGCAAGGCCCAATTTGCCTAATAAGCCAAGTTTTCATGAATTAATTGTTTTTCGACTACCTAACCTACCTAACCTAACCTAACTTTTTCCGCTACCTAAAATAACCTAACCTATAAAGATAGGTTAGGTTAGGTTAGGTAGGGTTGGTTAGGTTCGGTCATATATCTACGTTAATTTAAACTCCAATAAAAAAAAATTGACCTCATACATAATGAAATGGTTAGATTTATCATTTCATAAGAAAAAAATTAGAGAAAATATATTAATTCAGGAAAACTTGGCTTATTAGGCAAATCGGGCCTTGCATAGTAGGCCGAGAAGTGCGTTCTGGCTACTAGGTATATATATATATATATATATATATATATATATATATATATATATATATATATATGTCGTACCTAGTAGCCAGAACGTCGTATTCGGCCTAAAATGCAAGGCCCGATTTGCCTAATAAGCCAAGTTTTCCTGAATTAATATATTTTCTCTAATTTTTTTCTTATGAAATGATAAAGCTACCCCATTTCATTATGTATGAGGTCAATTTTTTTTTATTGGAGTTAAAATTAACGTAGATATATGACCGAACCTAACCAACCCTACCTAACCTAACCTAACCTATCTTTATAGGTTAGGTTTGGTTAGGTAGCCGAAAAAGTTAGGTTAGGTTAGGTTAGGTAGGTTAGGTAGTCGAAAAACAATTAATTCATGAAAACTTGGCTTATTAGGCAAATCGGGCCTTGAATAGTAGGCCAAAAAGTGAGTTCTGGCTACTAGGTACGACATATATATATATATATATATATATATATATATATATATATATATATATATACAGTGGTACCTCGGAATGCGATTGTCCCTGTATGCGAGGTTTTCGGAAGGCGAGGTGTATTTACTCCAAAAATTTGTCTCAGAAGGCGAGGGTTACTTCGGGAGGCGAGTTTGGACGCGAGTTTGTTGATACGCGTACAGCCGACCTAGCGCGTTCGTCGCCCCTCCGCCCTGCCGCCCCTCAGTTTATTATTGTCTGGCGCTCAGTGACTACCCCCACATCAATTCTTCTCGCAGATTTTCAGTGTTTTGTTGGATTTTTGGTGATTTGTCTATACAATTTGTTATTATATATCTCACCATGGGTCCCAAGAAAGCCAGTGGTAAGGATAAAGGCCAGAAAGCTCCTGTGAGGATGACAATAGAGGAGAAACAAGAGATCATTCGGAAGCATGAGAACGGTACACATGTTGTTGAACTTTGTAGGCAGTACAACAAAGCCACATCAACAATATGCACTATACTTAGGAAGAAAAATAAGATTATGGGTGCTAAAGTGGCAAAAGGAGTAAGAACATTAACGGCACAAAGACCACAAATACTTGAAGAAGTGGAAAAGTTGTTATTAATTTGGATACACGACAAGGAGTTGAGGGGTGATAGTGTTTCGGAGGCCATTATTTGTGAGAAAGCCAGGGTGTTGCACGAAGACCTTCTAAAGAATACCCCTGCAACGAGTGATGCAGATAAGAAAGAGTTTAAGGCAAGCAGGGGCTGGTTTGAAAAATTTAGAAAGAGAAGTGGTATCCATAGTGTTACAAGGCATGGGGTTATGTGATGTGATTATGGAAGGGGACTCCCCTTCCAAACAGTAACTCCTCTCCTCCTCCCCCCTCCTCACCATCTTCCATACGCCTACAGCACTCGACAGCAAGGTAAGTAATAACTGGAACACAGTTTTGTAGGTTTATTTAGATGAATTAGGTAAATTAGGTATAAAAATTTAGTTTGATGTGGGGTTTTTGGGGTAGTCAGGAACGGATTAATTCATTTCCCTTTATTTCTTATGGGGAAATTAACTTCGGAATGCGAGTTTTCGGAAGGCGAGGCGTCTCCAGGAACGGATTAAACTCTTATTCTGAGGTATGCCTGTATATATATATATATAATATATAAAATACACACATATTTATTCTTATTTTACATTTACATTCTCAATATTTTTTCCTTGCCTTTATAATACTTTTGCCACACTTTTCTTGAAATTATAGAATTCTACTGTCATTAACTTTCTTTATATTTAGACTTTCTCTGCCAGGAAACCCATCTTCCACTTTCCCTAATTTTGCACAGCACTGCATAACGATCTGATCCCACCAGCTTCCCTCTGAATACTCTCACATCTCTTGTATGACTTTGGCATCTTCTGTTTACATATATATAAGGATGTATACCTATCAAGGAAGTATTTGATAGAATCAGTCCTCTCTCCAAACACACATCCATCAAGAAATTCCCATAGCACTTGGCTCACCACTTGCCAATGGTGGGTCTGTATTTATTCCCAGCCCAAGCATTCATATTTCCTTTCAGAATTACATCCCTACCATCTTGTAACTTCACACAATGTCTATTGATTCCAGAATATGTCCATATCATTATCTCTGGTAAAATTCTCCTTACTGGAACATATTTTGTATGCTTAAAAATACATCTTTTTCTTTACATGTCTTAAACTCTCTCCAACTTACTCTTGGATTGATATACTTACACCCTCTCAGTACTTTTATTCTCTCTGGTATGCACAAAGGTATTATGTCCCAATTTGTTACCCAATAATGCTCATCAGTGCCTGACCACACTAACTGTTCCTCTCAAATCCTCCCGCCACTTTGGTTTTTCATCATTTACTCTTTTAATTAACATGTCTCACTCACATTTAATACATCTATACTGTACGGTATTTAGAGTTCTTAAATTTACTCTCAGTTCTTCACTTTCCCTCTTCATTTATGTTATTTACAATAAATATACACTCTTGATTCCTTATCCACTCCTTCTTAGTCACTTCCATTGCTCTTTTGCCTGTTATTCTCCATACCAAACTATGGTGCTGGCTGGTAGCAAGCCAAGTACCTCCTGCCTGGCACAACCACTCAATTCTCTGGAATTCAGAGAATTTGATTGTAAACATGCAAAATGAGGCTTTGTCCAAGTTAAATATATTTATTTATTTTATTTATATATATACAAGAAGGTACATTGGGATTGTGAGGATAGCATACTAATTACATTCTTGTAAGCGCAGCGTTTCGAGCAGGTCCTTAATCTAAGAAAATTTTAAGTAGGTAAATACTTGCAAAAATTATAAAAATGATAAAAGTTACATAGCAAGAAAAAAAGAGAAAATTGTAGGTATATTAAAGCACATAGGTAGCTCAGATTGATTGCAATGACAGCTTGAATGGTAGTTTAACAAAAATTAATAGGCACAATACAGCATATGGCTAGCACATAAAAGAAGACAGCAATGAACACAACAATAAAGTTGTTTGGATTAAGTACATAAAGATTGGGAGATTGGGTAACACTAGATACAGAGCAAATTTAAAGCTCAGTGTAGGAAAGTACGAAGATGAAATTAGGTACTTTTTGTTTTTGTTTTTAAATGAGGCTAAAGTTTGACAGCTTTTCAATTCACTAGGGAGCGAGTTCCATAGACTAGGTCCCTTAATTTGCATAGTGTTTACACAGATTAAGTTTGACCCTGGGGATATCAGAGAGATATTTATTTCTGGTGTGGTGATAATGGGTCCTATTACATTTGTCCAGGGAGAGTTTCAGAGCATGGTTTGCATTTAAGAACAGGGTTTTGTAAATGTAGTTGACACAAGAGAATGTGTGGAGGGAGTTAATATTTAGCAAGTTAAGGGATTTAAACAAGGGAGCTGAGTGTTGTCTGAAAGCAGAGTTTGTTATTATTCTGATAGCAGATTTTTGCTGGGTGATGATGGGCTTAAGGTGGTTTGCAGTTGTAGACCCCCATGCACAGATACCATAATTAAGATAGGGATAGATTAGTGCATAATATAGTGAGAGGAGAGCAGAGTTAGGAACATAATATCTTATTTTGGAGAGTATACCAACTGTTTTAGAGACTTTCTTAGTTATGTGTTGAATGTGGGTATTGAAGTTGAGTCTCTTGTCTAGGAATAGGCCAAGAAACTTTCCATCATTTTTATTACTGATGTTAATGTTGTCTATCTGTAGCTGAATTGCATTTGATGATTTGCTTCCAATTAAGATGTAGTAGGTCTTTTCTATGTTTAGTGTTAGTTTGTTAGTTGACATCCATAAGTGGACTTTTTTTAATTCATTATTCACAATATTATTTAGTGTATGTGGGTTGGGGTCTGAATAGATGAGGGTAGTATCATCAGCAAACAATATAGGTTTAAGAATATTAGAGACATTAGGCAGATCATTGATATATATAAGAAATAGAAGAGGTCCTAAGATGCTGCCCTGTGGCACTCAAACGGTGATTGGTAGAGTGGAAGAGGTTATATCACTGATGGTTACACATTGGTGTGTATATAGTCCAGGGCAAGGCCTCGGATTCCATAATGCTGGAGTTTAAGTAAGAGGTAGTTGTGATTAACAGTATCAAAGGCTTTTCTTAGGTAAATGAAGAGTCCAATCGGAAACTCATTTTTGTCAAGGGCTGAGTAGATTACGTCAAGGAGACTAATGATTGCATCATTGGTGCTCTTTTGGGACCGGAAGCCAAACTGGCAGGGTGCTGAATATGTCGAATTTTATGAGGTAGTATTAGAGCTGTTTGTAGATAATTTTTTCAAATATTTTTGATAGAATGGGTAGATTTGATATGGGTCTATAATTGTTTATGTCCGCCGGATTGCCTTCTTTATGGACTGGCGTTACTCTTGCTTTTTTAAGGATATCAAGGATATAACAAATTAATATATATATAAATTTAAAGAAAGCACAATTAGAAATTCGAATTTGGACAAAACTAAAACCAAAAAATACCTTGACCTATTAAGATACAGTACTACCTTTCCATTTACTTCCACCATAGATGGAAACTGCCATTCTGCCTTTACTGTGGGAATATTGCCTGGGCAAAATATATGTATCATCATTAGTCAGTATCAACAAAACATCAATTTGTGATTTTTCAGTTATTGTGTGTACAGAGGCAAAATTATACTTTGCTTATTTATTTGTATTATAGTTTACATCTTGATTCATAACTCTCTCCAGCCCGTCCTCCAAACAAAGACCCAAAAGCGATTCCATGCACCCGCCAAACAACCCCCTATTTATGAATGAAAAACGGTTTACACACGACTTGCAACTGATTTCGTTCGAACACGTCCAGAACAAGTGCTTCACTGACAAATTTTGTTCGAACTACAACGCTGTAAAGACTTCACCCACGTACTACAAATACTGTACAAATAATTGCCAACAAACCCTAAACACCTAACCTAACCTATGCCTATATATGCACAATATGCTAATATAATATTAATTTATATATGAGAAAATTCCCGTTTTGAATGAACAGCATGCAAAAATTTATAAATGCATCTGTTGGGTCTTCCACTGGATGTAATGGACTTGAGTGGAGGATGGGTTGCTCTCTCACATTCAATCCTAGTTGTTGGATGGCCTTCAGAATATTATTACAAGAATTTACTCAGCCATGTTTTGAATTGTATCCTGTACATAATTTGCACTATCTGTCCTATGTAGTTGTTAGTTGAATTATATAATTATCATTGGCAGAATTGAAATTTCTGCTTTTTATAGGATAGTGTAAAATGACTAGTAACAATACAATTGTTTAAGTTCCACATTGTCTAAGTTTATCAAAATTAATCAATGCATTTGATTAAACAGAATTACAGTACTTCATTACTTATCACCAGGTAACTACATGAACAGCAGTAAACGCGGACCAGCGTATGGATTTAAACTGTCAAGTCTGGACACTTTATGTGATACCAAATCGGCAGACAAGAAGATGAGCTTGCTGCATTACATCCAAGACACTATACGTCTTAAGTTTCCTGAGCTCAATAATTTTGAATCTGATCTAAGATTTATTGAAAAGGCTGCACAGGGTGAGTCAAATTTTGATTTGCATGTTCACAGTATAAAACTTAAATTTAAAAGACCTAAATTCAAAACATGCAAATCAATATTTTTTGATTTGCATGTCATATAGCTTATAAACAATTTAGGCTATATTAGAGATCTTAAGGATCATTTAGAGAGATTGTCTAATTATTTATGTTCTTTGGTGTCATAGTAAGTAGTTTATTTTATTTGGAGAACTCGGATATGCTCTCCACTGTACTCCTTGGGGCTGAACTTCAGCACAAGACAACCTGCAAGGTTACGTATTTCTGTGGGGCTCGAACTTGTTCAATTTGGAGTACTAGTGGTCGTCTTGATGGAATCAGAGCTCTGGCTCAGGTAAGCCATTGAGGGGTCCTTGTTCAGAAATTTGATGGACAGAATCCTCAAACTGATGTCCTAAACTAGCACCTAGCATCATGGAGGCAAAAGGGAACTTATAAAATTTTATGTAATTGAAATTGAGTGTGATTATTTAAAAAGAAAAAAAAGATGCAAGATTAAGTGATTATTTTTCATATTATATACTGGTAACACTCGGTGAGAACTTTTGTAGAGATTGAAAAGGGGTAACTCCTACTTACGAGCCACTTTATCCATGAATAGTATCAGCAGCATGTAGTTAGGAGGTAAATACTTTCATTGATTTGTTGGGGTTTTGTATTTGCACTAGTTATGCTGTACTCATTCTTATTAATCTTGGTAGCATTAGGGGATTACTTTCAAACTGCAGAAATGTGCAGAAATGCCTGTAATACATTTTATGTTGGAAGGAAAATTATTTAAATATATCAAGATTTGTGTGGCGACTGGGTTACCTCATAGCTGGTCTGTGGGTTACTCTTGAGGGATCTGGCTGCACAGGTCAAATACACAGCTAGCTATGCCATTATGCCATTAAAGACAAGATGCTGTTGTGCCATACAAATTCTGGTGTTCATATGCATATGTTTAAACTAATATATAGAATTAAGAGTTAAATATAGTTGAATTAAATTACACACAGAAATCACAATAGTGTGATATATCAAACGAACAAGTCCATGAGGGCCATGATGAGGGTTCGAATCCTCATCACGGCCGTTGTGGATTTGTTCAATTGTACTATATTCTTCTGAGAATTTGTAGTAAATATTGAATATGCAGAATATTGACAAAAATTGATAACATTATTTCAGTATCCTTGGAAAATATTATTACCGACGTGAATGAATTGGAAAAGGGAATGGAACAAGCTAAGAAAGAACATGATCGTTATCGGGACATGCGGAGTGCTGAAGGGCATGCTGCAGTAGCCGTGTTGAAAGAATTCTTGTGTAACTCGGAGGATAAACTCAGAAAGGTATGCATATGAAGATTAAACTTTTTTTATAATAAATTACACATAATTAAGTACTATGTAGTTCTTATTAAATGTGTGTGTTTCACATTTTAAATAGTATCATTAGTTTTGCAATGTGTTGTATTGGTTAATAATTACCTAAGGATAGTTACAGGATGAAAGTTATGCTTGTGGTGCCATGTCTTCTCAGTGTGCTCTGTTTATCCCTTTGTTGTTTTAGGGTTATTAACATTTTTCTTTAATGAATTTCTAATACAAAAATTTGTCCATATGTACAGTAACATTAAAAATCCAGCACAAAGTGTTCCCAAAACATGTATTATTGTATGTTTGATTAAAAACAAAAAAGAGGTGCCAAGTATAACAGTGAAATATATATTGGCAGAGAAGATTGTTGGAAGGGGAAGATACAGCTGGGTGTTCATTGACCAGCACACATGAACACACTCTTCCTTATGGAAGAGGAAGGATGCTAAGAGAAACAGAGGGAAAAGTGCAGGGAATAGAAAGAAACTGGAAATGGAGTTGGGGGTTGTTGAAATGAGGAGTTCCTACGACCATAGGTGTATGGTCCTAGGACCATAGGGCTATCCATAATCCATAATTTATTTCAGTGATGCACATGTAGCTGGTAAAAAATGATCTATCTGAAACTTAACTGTCAGGTCAACTACTCAAGTCAGTGTCACTAGAGAAACTGGATAACCACAAGGCATGCCTCCCAAGAACAGAGTTCCCTCCTTCCCTATTGCATCACAAGCCTTCCATTACAAATGCTGTATTTTTTGTTTAATTAATCAGTTTCTTAAATTTGCATTTATACATTTGGTGAGTGAGCTTTCTTAATTGAAGATAATTGTTTTTCTTACAGCTAAGAGCAGAAGCCAAGACAGCCCAGACCTCATTTGCCGAGGTGTTAGAATATTATGGCGAGAGCTCCAGAAGTATGGCACCTAACACATTTTTTGCCATCTTTGTGCGGTTCTCTAAAGCTTACAAGGTATTGTATGACAGTCAAAATAGTACTTTTGAGTTACTTATGTAATTTATCTCTCGATTTAAATAAATTTATGGTAAATGAGAATGAGTCATCGTCATTCTTGTACTTGTATAGTACTTCTGTTATGTCTGTTTATATTAGTATAATGCTTTTATTTACCTAAAGTTCATGCAGCTGTCTTGTCTCTTGGTCCCTCCTTGATCTCTTGAATGTACTACATGCAAGTGCCCTTCCCTCAATTTCTTAATCTCATGAAAAAATTACCATGTTCCTTAGAAACTAGCCTCACCAGTGTGTTGCTATCCATAATTTTTCTCTTTCTTCCCATTTTATTTTATAATCAATTTTGTCATAGTTTCCAACTTTGATTAAACAAATTTGTCAGAATTTGGCAGCTTATCATTTCCACCTCAGTGTTTGCTGTTTCTGTTCCTATTTTCTTGATCAGTTAATACTTTATTTGTTAGTGTTTGCAATCAGTTTTGTCCATTGATATCCATGTGTATATTATATACTGTATATGTAATTTATTTCACAAACAGGTTGTTGAGCAAGAAAATGAACAAAGAAGAAGATTGGAGGCTGCCAGCAGAGCAGCAGCTCTCAACCAACAGAAGCAACAGCAGCAACAGGAAGAACGCCAGCAGGTGGCACGTAACAATAAAATAAATGTTCGTAAGCAACAGGTTAGTCAGTATTTTTATTGTTTGTCCAGTGTTCTCAGGTGTTCAGCTTAAATATTAAAAATATACTTTGTTTCTTGGTTAAAGAGTATTGCAACGTGTGAAGTAAAATAGGGAAAGCAAAGTATAGATGCAGAATTTGAGTAAACTGTATCCAACAGTGTTGATACATATGAATATTAAGTATAATGGAGCCCTTGTTATCTGGGAATGGATTTTCTGAGAGTAAGGACTTATTGGAAAAAAAATTATCTGGACAATATTCTTGTTCCAAATATCTGAAGGCTATTTCAGATATTTACAGCATTTCAGAGCTTTTTCATTTGTCTGTTCTCTCAAGTAAGATCCCACTTTGTCTTTGGACACAGGGTGTGCATTCAAGCTGGGTGATAATTGCAATAATTTATCTGCCATTTCACTATTCATTCTTGTAGTTCCACCTACTGTGTATTAGTGCACCATCAAACCTCAGTCTGTGTGAGTGCTATGATTCTGTAAATCTAAGTGCAGAGCAAACTTGACTTTATATCAGAAAAATGGATTCAGTTCTGGAAACATAGATTTTATATATTTGATCTACTCTTTTCAATAAAACACCTCTTCCAGGGCATTTTAAATAATTTGATACTTCAATACAACTTCTTAGAATGAAAAACTAAATAAAGTGAGAAACAATGAAAATAATTTGATAGTTATTCCCATATGGCAACTCCCCTGATTTCTGGCAAAAACTTGCAACTTCACCGGGCCACTACAGCTAAACTACAAGAGGTAGACACATTTTACTTTGGCTTTCATACATCCTGGATGCTAACTAATTAACAGTATCAGAAGAAAAAATAATTTTATCAGGACAAATTTTTTTTGGGAGGAGCACCACAGGTTTGTCATAATTAAATGGTGAGCAGTGCAGGGGTTAACGTAATATAATGTTATAATGCTTTATTAAACATACAGTATTGCAGTGTAAAAAATGTGATTCTACTTATTAGCAAACTTAGCAATATCCAGAGCAGTTGTTGAGAACTAAATTAAAATCTTAACAGTTAATGAGAGGGCTAAATTGTGTAATATAAACTTGTAATTTGTGTTCTATATGTACAGTATATAGTAAAAATGTATTTAGTAGAATAATTTTGTTTGAATATATATGGGCTAACAGGTTGCAATTATGTTTTTTCCCCTGTGCCTTTTAATGTATATAATGTTTGGAATTCATAATAATTGCAATTTTATAGCAGTTTTATCATTAGATATAACTTTCTTTAGTGTATATGTATGTTAATAACCTGATTTTCTCATTTTTGCTCTTCCATCATCAGGGATATGGAGGCGAGGTAATTGTTATAATTCATAGTATATGTTTGTTTTAATATAACTAACACTGATTATGTTGTGTGTATTAGTAATATTTCTATGTGCTTTAATGTGATATGATCAGAAACTAAAACATTTAGGAAAGCCAGATATCAATGCCTTGTATATAATATATGTTCTGTGTATACTGTATGTGTGTATATATAATATATTATAAATGTAAATGTGGTTGATCGAATTTCTGAAGGTTGGGATTTGCTGTAATTGAACTCAAAAATTATATTGAAGATTTTATCAGTTGAATTGGCTGTATAGTTCATATGTTACTATTAAAAAATGAGCTACGTGATAAGGCTGTATTAATGGAATTCAAAATGTATAGGAGTTTACTGATTATATCACATTCACGCACACAATTTGTGTTTGATACTGACAATGCTGTATTTAGCAAAGTTCACAAAGGGTAGAAAGTGTTGATATTAAAAAAAAGATGCGTATCGGAAGACATTATCTTCAAATTTAAATTTGGTTCCTATGTATTATAGTTACAGTAATTTAATACTGATCTTAGTTTTGTACCCTTTTGGAACGTGCATTAGGTTGCTTCTTGGTGAAAGATATTATGAAGTTGTGGACATGGTACTTTGCAAAAAAAAAAAAAGAAATAGATTTTTCTTCTAATGATCCACTTTTTCCTTTTTTTTTTCTTTTTTTTAGTACAGTATTCATTACTTTACTTACACAGTAAAATGAAATAATCCATTGTGAATGGATATTTAAGATACATGCATCCAGTATTAGTTTTGCTAAACAGGACTCTTTTTAAACAACTTATACATACTTTTACAGTACTGTACATGTATGCTGAAATTGCTTCCAATTCTAATAATAATACAGTAATTCATTAACTAATATTCTTGTTGAAATACACAGAAAACTAAAAAACTTGAACATCTTGTTAGAATTTTTTTAAGTAAACTAAAATTTTTGTAAGTCTTAAGATATATACAGTATTTACCCTCTAATTATTAGCTTGCATGACTTTGGCTTCTGTATATAACAAGAGATTGTTATAGTAATTCTACATTAATATATCTTAAACTGTTTAATATTTTCAAAATATTAAGTTCTATATAAGTTTTATGTTAAGTTTGGTTTCGGTATTTCCCAGATATTTTAGTACTGTACTATTTACTGTATATTTATCATTAAAACATGACAAAATCACTGTACAGTAGACAGTATTTAATGGTCTTTGATGCAGTGTTTGTTACCTGGATGTGGAGAGGCTCTGTTTTTGCTTATCTTTGTGTGAAATTGATTCTTTCTTAAATGACAAAACCATGTTGTTGTGGTTTACAAGAATGTGCACTATGAGATGGAGACCATTTTATTCCATTAGAACTTTTACCATAAGCTTGCATGTGTTGAGAGGTTAAACTGATTTGTCTGGAGTTTTATTTTTCACTATTGCTTTTTTGTAAAGTTAAGAGGTAAAAATAATTCTGTTTACAATCTTGAAGGACTTATTCTTGGTCTATGACTTTCTTTTAATAATAAGTTTCACTGGTAAACACAGTTCATCAGCTAGCTCCATTACCATTTTGAACTAAATTCCATCCACACCTGAATCATTAGTCCTTTAATTTGTCAATGTTCTTCCTGATTATCTCACATGTGATAAGGGTATCTGTTAACTTGTTCTATTCTTGTACTTGAAATATGTGAATTTGTATACAGTATATGGATACACATAATTCATACACACAAGTCACACATACACACAGTGGATACACACAAGTCATAATTGTTAGGTATGACTGGTGAAATGTGCTACTTTTCAGTGTCTCTCTCAGGTGTGTATCTTTAACACACAAGTTCATTATGACAAGTTTGCAATTGCCTGACACAGAATTATGATTATATTTTAAAGGAAACTTAGCTTTGTTGTATATTTAGAATGTTATTGAGTAATCATGATGAATCATATAGAACATACAGGATAACTTCCAAAGAGCAGGTACTGAACCATTAGAATATTAAGGTTGACTGCCACATACTATGCAAGTGTATGTAAAGCATTTGCAGTAACATAGTCAAACATGTGTGTATAATGCACTTAAACCAGTAGATAACTTTAGATGCCATTTTAATAGAATTAGCCAGAGCAAGCTCAAGATTATCATTCTTCACTGTATGATGCCTTCTTAGCATGGAATCTAGAGATGTCATATTCTTAAAAAGGACACCAAAGAGGTATGAAATTCAATCCTGTTGCCAAACCTCATAAAATTCTATTTGACTAGAGAAATCAAAGCATCTCTTTTTAATCAACAAAGAATCATCTCTTGTTTTCCTTACAGAATACTTTAACTGTAAATGATGTCATATTAAATACAGTAGATAATTTTTTCAGGCCTCATGTCATCCTGTATTCCAAGTTATCCATATACATACTTTGTGATTATCTTGCAACTTATGGTATATATCTTCCTTCCCCGCTTGTTGCAGCGTGCATTATTACACAAGAGTAGTGTAATTGCTGGTTACCTGGAGCATTGTTATTGCATGTGTGGCTCTTCTTACCCATAGTATTCTCCCCAGTGTGCTGGCAATATCTTCCTGTTATCACCCTTTCACCCGCCTCGGCTTGCACTCTCCCATCTTTGCTGATGTGCTTCTTCCCCAGGTACTTAAAATGCATCTCACATTATTTGTTCTCTACATTGATATATTGGATTATTGATGGAAAGGTTAGGCCTTGTACAAGATAGTTTTCAAGAGAAAACTTTTCATACAAAGGAATCTATTCTTTTGGGATGACAATTGCTTCTTGATTCATTCTTTTGTCAGTTAAACTATGTTTTTGTTATTCAAAAGAAGTACCTTTTTCATCTTAAAAGTTTGTATAGTGTGTGTGGAAATTTGTTGAATTGACATTATTTAATTTAGGAAAAATGAGTAGTTCAAAAAAAGTATCTCTAACCATGAGCAATGGAGAGGTACCTTTTCTAAAGCATTTGGTCAAATTGCTAGTAAAGTATTTGTCAGCAGCCTCAGTGCACACAAGTCGTGCAAGTTTTCTTCCATTATTGTTTTCCATTGCTGTAATATTTTTCAACAATATGACTAATTCTATTAATTTGTAAACACAATAATAACAGTATGCTTTTTGCATCACTAATATTTCCGAGAGTAAGCTTAATCCTTTCAATGACCAAATAAAGACATATCCTCTTGAATATTTCCAAACATTTCATTCTTCAAACATTTCTGCATTTAAAAGTGAGCAAATTTGGCCAACACTTAATAATTATTAATCCATTAACAGGCAAAGCCTATTGCATATAGACAAAGTAATTTCTTCTTTGTGGTGGTAGGGGAGAGGTGTGTGCATTAAACATCATTACTGTGATTCACTGTTTATGAATAGCATTACAAGTACCCATAGATTGCAGCACTAGCAAACAGGACAACAGTTTACTCTCAAAAGTATATGCTGTAATTCTAACTTATTTTTAAATAAAAACAATCGGCATAATGTTTTGATAATCGCTCTTAATGGGCACCTCTAGTTCCTATGGTTGAAAAGCTATCCCATTAGTTGCTTCTGAAGGCAACTTTTGCTACATTCAAAGGACTTGATTATGCATTCAGGCAGAACAACATTGTCACTGATAATAGAGAATGCTCCTTGTAGGGTCATTAAGATGCTAGGGAGTTACCAAAGAATACTCAATCAAGCCCTAAGGACTAGTAGACTGTCCATAAAAACTATAAGCCCATTTACTGAAAAAAACTACTAGAGCAATGTCGCTTGAGCTCATTTCCACATACTATTAAATATCTTTTTAATAATGTTGCATGTCAAGAAATGACTTGGATTTTGTGGTACTTGTGAACACTAGCAGCTCTGTATTGTAAACGGTTCCTAACATACAGAGGAGTGTAAAATCTCTTGGTCTTCTGACCTTACTTCTTCTGAGAGGGTACACTTAGCTATTGGGCCTTGTATAACTGTCCATGATCTGTGTGACCACTATTAATCAATATTTTTAACTGCATGATTAACCAATAGATATAACTTTTCAGTTAATTCTATCAGTATTCTTAACCTTCACTCTTATTCCTGCTTTCTGAAACTTGACTCTTTGCTAACACTACTGCTAGTTCTTTTAATGGAAAGATAACAAAAAGGCTTAAATCAAAATGGCACTAGAAGTGGCACCATTAATGATGACTTATTAAGGATAACAACGTACTGTAGGTCTTAGTCAGAAAATAGTGTAGTGACATGTGTGACAAAGAAAAGAAGGCTGTTTAGGTCAAAAAGATCTGAGCAAGTGGGCTGGGATGATCTGGATCCAAGAGAATATTATATCAAATACAGTAAAAGCAAAAAGTTTATTATATCAGATATACAAGAACATTTACAGTAACTGAAAAGTATAATGAATGTACCAGAAAAGCAATAGGTATATATATATCACCGATGGAGTTTAAGGGAGGGCAAAGAGTACAGTTGAATACATTAATGCTTGAAGTTTACATATATCCACTTCATTTAAGTTAATGGTTAAATTTTATTCTTGATTTTACCCTTCATTTAGATAGCATCAACCTGTTGGGTAAAAAAAACAATCGTACCCATATTTGTTAAGTAAACTCTTAGTGAATATTGGTTAAGTTTGGACAGCTTTCGTAGGCCTTGGCATCCTTAGTATTTTTTGGTCAAGCTGTAATATATATCTGATCCCTCAAATACAAATTCTACAATAGCTACAACTGCCATTTTGTGAAGTTTCTAATTATGAATCATATTTATATATCTTTTTATCAACATTGTTAGTTGCTTAGGAGGTTGCTGCATCTCTATAATGAATGTTGTGTGTGACTCCTTCCTCTGAATATAGGGGCGTTATGGCATGGACTTAAAGGTTGTTTTGTCTGACTTACTCTCAAGTTCTTCATTCCAGTATTCCTCCTCTTGTCGCAAAGTTGCTTCATTCTTTCAATTTCTTTTCCATAGATATTTTCATGGGTTAAAAATAACACTTGTTTTATAACTTATACTTAGTTATTGTTTCATTGAGGAGGTTTGAATAACTTTTGTGTCATTTTAATCCCTCGGTCATCCTTCAAGAAGTTGGTAAATAGTTACCTAATATGAGAAACCCACTAGTGTGGTCATGCTAGATCTGATGATTGATTGATTAATAATGTTAATAAAGAGATGCATTTTAAAAGTAACTAACTTGTACAGATAATGATTTATTGATGTTATCTCATTTTAATATTGAGTATACAATTCTTCATAAGGAGTCGCTTGTTCTTAAGTTGTCACTTGGGATGAAATTATCCCGATACTTGGTGAGGTAATCCTGATAAGATGTTTATGGATTTTGTTATAAATGCTCACTATTGGCCGTGTTCTGCAATTTTTCTGGGAGGAGCCCCGTCGGCTCCCCGAAGCTATACCAGGCTGATATGCTAATGTCAGACTTTGGCATCAGTCATGTGTATGGAGTTCTTAGGGCCTATCGAGGACCACAGCCAGACCCTGGCCCCCTCAGAGAGGCAAGGGGAGCAATGGCCTATAGAAACCCCCGTGTGGTTGGAAACATTCTGTGTCTGCCATCGACCGGGTCAAGCATCCAGAAAGGTTAGCGTCCCAAAACAAACCCCTATTTTGGTTAAAATTGCTACCAAAACCCGAACTAGTGGATAGAAATTCCCCTACAGAAAACAACTAAACGAGTATGACGTCACACGTCACCTCGCCGCTATCTGCACAGCCACCCCCCCCTCTCCCCGAGAGGGGGAAGGGGGAGATCCAGACCTTTCACGCTCCCCCGGAAGCCCCGAGGCTGCCCTGTTTTGGTTGGTGGTCTTGTCGTTCCTCCCTCCCTGCATCCGGGTCCTTGCCGTCTGTGGGTTCGGGGTCAGGGCGGGGTTTTGAGACTTGGTTGGTCTCGAGGAATTCCCCTTCTGGGGTAGCAACGGGGGCATTCGAGCCTGTTCCTCTAGCCGTGTTGTATGAGTCTGCCAGTGGGCTCCCTTCCTTGGTGATTTTCATGACTGCCCCTGTTTTTTCTTGAGGCTGGGGCTTTGTGGGGACAGCTATGCCCCGGGGCCTGATGTGTGGGTTCCCGGGGCTGGGATGGGACTGACATGGGGGAGGCCTCTGGCCCTGTTGGACCCCGCTGGGTTTCTACCCTCTGGGCAGGGTTTGCGGTTACGCTGAGTGGGTTTTTTCCTTCCCCACTCTCTGCACGAGTTGTTGAGCGTCGGCCCCACCCCGGGCTTGGTTCCTTGTCCATTAAGCCCGTTGATTCCGTCCTGTTGGTGGGTGCTCTTCTCACCTGTCAATTCCTCTGGGAATGTGGTGACATTCTGCTGCGGTTTTGATACTGCGGCTGCGTGTTGGAGTGTGGTCGTGGCATTTTGTTCGGCCCTTCCGTGCTTCTTTCTGGGGTCTTTCTTGTTTGGGTTCTTTGTTCCCATGATTTTTCTGGATCCCTCATTCCTTGCTGGTCTTGCTGTACTGGGCTTAGCTTTTCCATGTTCATTGAATTCTCTGTACTACCCTCATTGTTCTCACCTAGTTGTGCTTGCTGGGGATGAGCTTTGGCTCTTCGTCTCAAGCCTCGCCCTTCATTCGATTTCTGTACAGGTACCGGAGCCTACTGGGTTCTCTTATCTGCACTTGACGCTGGGTGTGGGGTTGGCCTCTGCCACATCCCTTCCTCATGCATTCCTATTGTCTCCTGCTCTGACACTGGTATGCTTCTTCTATCTTTTATACGGCACATTTGGGCATTCAGTTCGCCTTGTTGCCCCCGTTACGTGTTCCCCATGTGTTCCTTGGCTTGTATTTCTCTACCCCTGTCGATTCCTCCGAGGTTTTGCTTGTGGTGGTCGTGTCCCCCTCTGGATCTTCGGTCTCCTGGGAGCATGTGGGACATGTCCAGTGGCTTTTGGTGTTGGTCCTGTCCCTTTGTTTCCATTTGCTGCCTGCCTTCTTCGTTCCTCAGCTTCCTTTTGTCCTCCACGTTGTGTGTTTTGTTTGTGCCTTATTGGCTCCTGTTGCCGGGTTTCGATTCTGGTTACTGGCTTTCCCGGCCTGTTGGCATTTTCAGAGTCTCGCGGTGTCCCTTCTCTGGAGTCTGTCGGGGTCTTGGTTTCCACCCACCTGGCGGCTCGCTGGTATTGGGACGTTTTTCGGTACGGTAGAGGTTCCATCTCCTTTGCTGGCTCGAGTTTCCGGCTCTGCCTCGAGTCTTGCCTTCTGTTGGTGGTCAGGTGGCTTCGTTGCTGGTGTCCCACCTGCGTGCTTCTTCTTGGCGGCATTGTGGGGTATTTTGGTGGTACTTCCTTTTTTCCTTCTATCCCTTCCTCGGTGGCGATGTGTTGTTGGCGTGGTCTTGTCTTTCTCTTATGTGGGTTCAGGGCCGTCATTTTGCCACATACTATCGCCTCGTTTCATTCGGCGCTGGCGGAGCTGCTTCCGCTTGCGTTCAGTGTTGATGTTACTTCTGCGCCGTTCCGCATGCTGCTTCGAGCGTTGATTCGCCTCCGGCCTGCTCATGCGCCATCTGAGCCGTACTGGTCGTGAGACTGGGTGCTCTATTTTTTTTCTTCTCCTCGGTTCTTGTGGCCCCTTCGGTTCCGGTTGGTGTCTCGGGGGGGGGGGGGGGGGGGCTCATTTTTTCTGTTGGCCTCGGGGGTGTTCGGGTTGGTGTGCTTCGTGCTCTCCTCCGGTGCTGGGGTTTCTGCTCCTTTGGTCGGGGCAATCGTTTTGTGCCTCTGCAGCCTTCTCCTTCTTTTCTGGCGTTGAATGTGATTAATGCTTTCCGGAGGGGTCTCTGGGTTGTTGATGCCTTGTTGATTTGGCCGGGGGTGCTTCAGGTTTTGTGGCCAGTTGCGGCTCTCCGCCGTTTTTGACGCGCCATGGCTTCTGTGTCTGTGGACGCGCTTAGGGTTGATCCGGTTTCCCTTCTTCCCTGTTTGCAGGTGTGGGTCTCCCAGATCGTCTGCAGGATTATTGAGGCTGGCTGGCCTGCGGCCTCTCCCCGTGCCCATGGCGTTCGCAAGTTCGCGGCTCTTGCTGCCGTTCCTTGGGACTGTGTCTTGGGCGGACATTCGGGCGTGGGGATTTTGGCAGTCAAACTGGGTCCTGGCTGTTCGTTGCCTTGTTCACGTCCTTAGGAGTGGTCGGGCCTGTGTCACTTTGGGTTGGCAGTTGCAGCCGGTTGTCTCGCTTCGTGTTGAGGTGTGAGTGGTGGCTGCCTCCCATATATGTTCCTTAGACCTTCCTCTGTGGGTAGTTAGCTCTGGGGAACTGACGGGTCTCTCCCCAGAAAACCAGCGTTGAATATAATGAAACGCCATTTTCTGGGTGAGACCCGGAGGCTCCACGGCAACCCTCCCTCCCTCCGGTCAGTGGTTTTCGCATGTTTTGACTGATCGGGGGGAGGCTGCGCAGACAGCAGCGTGGTGACGTGTGATGTCATACTGTTTTGCTTGTTTTCTGTGGGGGAGTTCTATCCACTAGTTTGGCTTTTGGTAGCAATTTTAACCAGAATAGGGGTTTGTTTTGGGATGCTTACCTTTCTGGATGCTTGACCCGGTTGATGGCAGACATAGAATGCTTCCAACCACACGGGGGTTTCTATAGGCCATTGCTCCCCTTGCCTCTGTGAGGGGGCCAGGTTCTAGCCATGGTCCCCGGTTGGCCCTAAGAACTCCATACATATGACTGATGCCAAAGTCTGACATCAGCATATCAACCTGGTATAGCTCCAGGGAGCCTCCGGGTCTCGCCCAGAAAATGGCGTTTCATTACATTCAACGCTGGTTTTTTTTTAATGTATGTGAATATTACATGACTATTTTTGATTGGAGATACATTTATTAAGCCACCACAGTTAGCTTGCTTCAAAACAAATGATAAGTACTAACATGATAAAGTTAGTAAATTGTATACAATTTGTAATGAAGAGCTAGTCAGATTAGAAGCAATTACAAATACAGTACTGTATTGACATAGACTGGTACTGACAAAATTTGTAGATATTAGGCATAAAGAATATTACAAGTTAGGTGTGGGGAATAATAAGCATATTCTTGTGTGAGCTGCACCATTTCACATGTGACATTTGATTGGGAGGTTAATTTAATATTTTATTTACTAAATACTGTTTATTTGAAATGTAAACTGGATGGTTATGTATTTCTGCAAGTGTTTTCAGTAATATGAATTACCTAGTATTTTGTTGCAGTACAAACTTTAATAAATCTAAATTTATTTCTGGATATATATATATAAATATAAAATAACCATGTGAAAAATAGAGAATGCTTAACGCGTTTTCGGCTAATTCGCCTTCATCAGAGCAAAGTAGAATGAAGAGCTTTGTGATCTTCATTCTTCTTTAGTAATCAATTTTTCATTAAATTTTTGTGATCATTGTTGCATATATATATATAGCTGGTTTTGATTTCTATGTAATCACATGCAGTATGTTATGCAGTTCTAACTTTTTCATTATTTTAGGAGGCAATAATGAGCGAGATGAAAGCTCGCGGCGTGGTTGCTGACAAGAGGCTTCTCTCGCAAGAGGATGTTTATCATGGAGCATTGGAAGATATCCTAATTGGGCTTAAAAATGAACCATATCGGCGTGCTGATGCTGTTCGCAGAAGTCAACGCAAGAGAAATGAAAATGTCAGGCTGTCTCGCACCCTTGATGAAATGGAGTTTTAAGTACAGTATTGTGGTTAAACTGCACAAACTTTGTCAGTTAATAATTTGTACTTTTTCCTTGTTAAATAAAACTGCTGTGGCTGCTGATATCAGTCATACTTATGTAGTAAAGAACATGGGGTGACCTTTACTTTGACTGATCATACTCCAGTGCAATAATGTGTGAATGTAAGCAAAATTGACATACATATTGCAATGTGTGGGTTATTCCCTATGAACCCTGAACCAAATACTTGTATATAAAAACTTTGTATAAAACAAGATTTAAGTACTGCTAATCCAGTTTTAATAGTTAGGTATACTTTTTGGACATTTTGCAAGCTATCATATTATTTTCAGGTCTTAGAACTCAAAACTTTAGAAACGATAAGTTTTAAGCATTACATATGTATGCACCTTCTCATTAGATATATCTAGCATTCCATCTTCACGAACTGCTGTATAATGCACGTTGTTTCTTATACCTTATGTATTATACAGTGATTAAACAATTGTTACCACTGAAGGTAGTCGACTTCATTGCCATTAGTCTTTGAATGGCTTTCCATCTGCTAATTACTTGCTACTCTTATTCATTTGGTAGCCACAATATTATATTGTAGCTATATTTTATCCAATTCAGTCACAGAAAACACATGCAGCCTACAAAGGGGTAACTTTTTTAATCATCTTTTAATCATATTTAGAGGTAGAGTAGAATAATTTGCAGAAAAGCACAAGGGACAATCAGAAGGTATTTTTTTTTTTAATATTTCTGCCAAAATATCGACAGTTGCAATGTAAAAATTTGTCAATGAATTGTGGCCAGTAGGTATTCCGATAAATAATGGAACTTAAAATTTTGTTTGTATTTTATTATGAAAGATTGTTTTTATACTAGTAGGTAAGTAAAGAGAAAATATGTACTGCATTTGAAAAGTATCTGGAGCCTGTCGGCCGAGTGGACAGCACACTGGACTTGTGATCCTGTGGTCCTGGGTTTGATCCCAGGTGCCGGCGAGAAACAATGGGCAGAGTTTCTTTCACCCTATGCCCCTGTTACCTAGCAGTAAAATAGGTACCTAGGTGTTAGTCAGCTGTCATGGACTGCTTCCTGGGGGTGGAGGCCTGGTCGAGGACCGGGCCGCGGGGACACTAAAAAGCCCCGAAATCATCTCAAGATAACCTCAAGATATACCCACAATTTAAACATTTATGGTTGAAAACTGGTACTGAATACTTCAGTTGTTTTCATAGTAATAAAAAGCTATTTCAGATTTGTTATTTAGATGTAGTAATATCAGTAATGTATATTTATTTCTAATATTCCACAATCTGGTATTAAGACTGTTTTACATGAATGAACAGGTGCATTAAGTGCATACAATGCATTCTTCCTAATTAAGAACATTATAGTAATTAACTAGTATGGGCTCATATCCCTGACACACCATTCAGTTATTAGATTCCAATAATAATTTTTTTACTACATTAAATAAATGCAATTAAGTCATATTCAATCAAGTATTTATGATCTGCTTCAGTTCATAAATATACCTGTACATTTGATAATGTATTCATCATTAGTTAAGAGCATAACTTTAAAAAATTCTCATGTTTATAATTCTTATTTTCAACCAAGCATTTTTTTATCATCACTTGTTTCTAAAATGTGTATTTCATTACAGCAGTTACATTTGTAGAATACCCTATATTCAGCAGACTTTTACTTAGTTCTGTGTGTGTGTGTGTGTGTGTGTGTGTGTGTGTGTGTTTGCCATTCATGTTCTCATTCATATGAGTTGATGAAGTCAAATTTACTTCACCATAGACATGTGTAAATCTGGAATTTAATGAAATTTTGCCATACAATTCTTATTGAAGTGTTGTTTATCTTTAGTGTATTTATGTATGGAAAGAATTCAAAAGTTTGCTTTACTAAATGTGATAGAAGTATCGCTTACTTTTTGGTGTATATAACAGTATGCATTTCTTTGTGTATTTTGATACTCATTTTTGTACATACAGATTTCCTATTGCTGGGCATTATTGTTAGAATGTATGAGCCTACAGTTATGTTTGCTTAAAAAAAAAATATTAATTAATAATGTTTGAAATCACTTACTGATCACAATCTGAAACAAATTTGCAGAACACCCAAATAGAAAATATGTAAATTTTCTATCATCTCTTGTCCTAAAAGTTAACCCTGTGCTTTTCCTGTCCAGTCACTCTGTGCCTTTTGATAATTGCCTATTGCATTAGGTGTATGATAAATATTCCAAAGCCTCTTTATAAAAATAGACTTTCAGTGTACTTTAATATCATCAGTTGATGGAGAAGATTAGGAATACCGTAATTATTAATGTTACAATCTATAATCAGAGTTATACAAGAAAGGTCATGATTGTCTTTCTCCTTGTGCTGAAGTGGGTTATGCAGTTGGTTTTCTGAATGTGATGTCTGTAGCAAGCGCTCTTCTATAGTCTAGTCTGGATTGTAAAAATACTTTCACTTAACCCATATATTGTCAAGTGTTGTAGATGATTCCTAAGCTTCCTAATAAGGCCTTATATTTTAAGAATGTAAATAATTGTACATATATTTGTAAATTAAGAGTTTAAGATTCTTAGAAATACTCATTGTATATATATTTCAAAAACTTTATAAACTTTATAGTGTTTTATACATTTTGAAGGAGTTATAATATTATAGTACAGTGATGCATACTATGATAGTTATATATATAATGAATGAATGAAATGTATGACATGCAGTACAGAAAATTTATATATTAGAATGAATGTAGTGCATGGCATGCAGTACAGTAAATTTATATATTAGAATGAATGTAGTGCATGGCATGCAGTACACCGTTTTCTAAACCCCAGGGTTGACAGGTCTGACTGCTTAACTTGGATGCTTGTATCTGATGTACACAGACAGAATAAGGAATAACAGCAGTGACTGGCACTTTTTTATTATTTTTATTTCTTGTTAAACACATCAATAAAAGGATGAAGATTTGTGAAGTTGTTATTACACCCATAACCAATGGTTTGCTATACCATTCTCCAGGCTTGATGCATTTTGATCAAGTAATTGCTTGCAGGCGATGAGTCACAATAACGTGGCTAAAGTATGTTGACCAGACCACACACTAGAAGGTTAAGGGACAACAACGTTTCGGTCCATCCTGGACCATTCTTAAGTCGATTGTGATGAAGTAGAGACAGGCAATAAATAGGCAAGAGAGAGCTGAGGAGCAAAGTAAGGTGTAGTAGAGGGGATAGTAGTAATAATAATAACTGCAGAGGGCCTATTTGCCCATACGAGGCAACTCCTATTATAACCACCGAATGAGGAGGAGATACTGTAGTAATAGGAAAAAGAAGAGGATAGCAAGGAAGCATAGAAGACAATGAACAAAAAAAGGGAGAAGAGAGAGAAAGAAAAGGAAAGAGAAAGAAAGATAAATAGAAGAGGTAAGCTTATGTTAGCTCACGTTTGTTAGAAAGATTAGAGCATTTGAGTATATACTGTGAAAGGGAAGAGTCCACAGCAACAAAGCCAGGACTCAAGTTCATGTTTGGTACATTGTGTATTAGAGCCGATTCAACAAGACGGAGTATGTGTAGAGTAGAGGCAGGAAAGATTATTTTAGAGGAAGACCCTTAACCTTCTAGTGTGTGGACTGGTCAACAAGTAATTGCTTTTCAGAGAGAGAGATAATGGGGGGAAGAGGAAGACTAAAGATGAGACTTTTCACACAGTTCTCCATCTTGTTAAAAATTCTGATGAATGATGGGACAGGCTATCCATGAGGGGTGCATACCCAAGATTGGAGCAAACTTGTGCTTCAAATTCTCATATGAAGCACAACTTTGCTCCTGTTTTGGGTATGAATTTCTGGGATAGTCTGCACCACTATCATTTGTCCCCCCTCCCCGTCCGGCCCATTGTTGCCATGAGGGGGCTTGGTGGGCAGCTGCCAGGGTGTGATGCTTCATGGGACAGTCCTCTGTCCTTTTGTGGCCTTATGCTCCTGCTACTGTCCTCACAAATTATGCTGGACAACTTTTCCTTTTCCTTATGTTTTGTTTTTCTCCTCATCTTTTTTCAAATTGTCATTTCCCGCCAACCTTTTGCCTGTTTTGATCATTCTTTTGGCTTTCTTTTGTTTTGAAGCCCGGGTGTTTGAGGAGGCATACTCTTGCACCCGTTGAACTGTAGTACCCAACGTCTCTAGCGAGGGGACTCTTTTTATTGTCAATCCTCCTTTTGTCACTGAACCTGATTGAGGGACTGACGGTTCTTAAGGTGGTGTTTGTGGGGCGTAATACTCTCAACACACCCCTGGGGGAGGGGGGTGCCGGCAAGAACAGCTATAAGTCTCTTGTTGGGTGTCCTGCTTCTAACTGTGGCTCCGTGGTGGGTGTGGGGGCACATTCGTGAACGAGTCTTACCTCATTTTCATGTCGATAAATACCGTTCCTCCTATGACTTCAGGCTCGTGGGGTGGGCGACCAAGCCCCCGAGTCAGACTGTGTTGGAAGACCGGGCTCTGTAGCCCCCGCTACATTGGGCCCAGACCTAACTCCTCCTTTGACCCTCCTGATTACTCCCCTCAGCTCCCCTCCCTCCTCTGTGGTTGGGTCGAGCCATACGCCCCCAGCGGTGACCACCTCCTCCCCTGGTGTGGCTCAGTCTCTCATTGTGACTACTGCACCTTTTAACCCTCCCCTCTCCCTCTCTCTCTCTCTCTCTCTCTCGGGGGTTCTCAACACCATTCCCGCCACGGCCGCAATCGCACGATCCCTTCCCATACTAATATGTACCAAGCCTTGTTTAATCCTGCTTTGTGGGCTAAATACTTTGATCTCCCTCTGGATTCTACACCTGACAATTTCTCACTCCATAAACACCTTGTTGATTCGGTGGATGCCTCTGTTACTTTTAACCCCACCCGTTTAGGTACACGTGTCGTCGCTGCTCCTTCACTGGATGCAGCTACCCACTTAGCCGCATTGTCCGGCATTGGGAAGACCCCTGTTCAGGTCTTCAAAAATGCTCGGTTAAATGCTAGTGTTGGCACTGTTCTCCTCCTGCACCATGTTGCAACTGGTGTTAGGGACCTAAAAGACTGCCATGAGGATATTAAACATATCCTCAAAGCCCAAGGCCATCCTGTCCTCCAGGTAGACACGTTCACTCGACCCCCTCGTGGTCGTTTCGCCCCTTCGAGTTGTGAAAATCACCTTTGATAGTAGGACCCTTTTGCCCTCTATAATTCTTGCTGGTGCTAGATGCTCCGTTCAGGAGTTGATTCTCTCTCCAAGACTTTGCAATAAGTGCTGGAAGTTCGGGCATGGTGTCCTCAAATGCTCAAGTACTGTGTATCTATGCCCCATGTGTGGGGCCGATGATCACTAAATCCGAGTGCACTTCTACCCAGGCTTGCTACCTCATTTGCAGTGAGGCCCACCCTCCCGCTCGTGTATACACTACAAACTTGAGGAAGCCGTCCCCAACTTGAGACACCGGGATCATCTGCCTTATCCTGAAGCTAGATGCCAAGTTCGCCGTCTCACCCCTTTTACTGGCGTATCCTACGCTTGCGTGTTGC